TATCCAACACTGCCCCAATCTAGCTCAAATGCAATGGGCACCCTCCCTACCACAGCCGTGATAAGCTCCAGCTGGCACGCTAGAATCTCCGCTGCTAGCGAGCTGACTTCAGGAGCGGTCCTGAGCAATCCTGGAAGCAATGCAAGGCATACTGCGCGGGCCCGCTCTCTGGACGCATCCGAGCTCTCAAGAATTACTAACCCCTGTAAAACAAAGATCCCTGCTCCTAGGGCTCTAGAGCCACAATCCCTTGAACGAGAATCAATGGATCCGCACCCCCAGGGTTACGAGCATCTCTTTGAACGGCAAAAAGAAATGTTTCCGAACCTACGATCATTCGCAACATAATTTCTGTTGCCAAGGATCGCGGTCCGCGTACCCAGAGCCACGATCCATGGTAGTAAGTTGGGGATATGGCTTTCAGCGCCCGCGGCTTCCCCAAATTTGCCAACAGTACCCCTGCGCCTCCGATCAGAATCCCGCGGGGATCGCAAAGTTCGGGGTGTGGGGGTACAACAAACTCTCTGTCCCGGCGTGTCGCACGTGGGATGTATGACGGGAAAAAGGCGAGGTCGTCGTCGTCGTCGTCGCCCGAAGACGACGACGACCACGACCTAGCCCTGCCACGCCTTCGTGACTCCGGAGAGCTGCACTTGTGAGAACCACACAACCCTGCCACATTCTCGTGATGTCGGAAAGCTGCAATGGTCAGAATCACATTTATTACATATCACACAAGGAGAAGAGTGGAAGGAGAGAAGAGAGAAGGGGAGGGATCGGAGAGAAGGGAGGCCCAAGGATCAATTGTCCAAAAGGCCCTGCGTTTTGTACTTGCCACACATATAATTTAACATTTTCTATGCGCCAAATGCGTAGAGAAGTTCATGGTGGCCAGTTTCCGGTGATAAAATCAATCGGGAAAAAGTTAGGCGGAAAGAAGATAGAGTAGCATTAGTAGTGTTAGTAGTAGTGTTAGTAGTAGTAGTAGTAGTAGTAGTAGTAGTAGTAGTAGTAGTAGTAGTAGTAGTAGTAGTAGTAGTAGTAGTAGTAATAGTAGTAGTAGTAGTAGTAGTAGTAGTAGTAGTAGTAGTAGTAGTAGTAGTAGTAGTAGTAGTAGTAGTAGTAGTAGTAGTAGTAGTAGTAGTAGTAGTCGAAGTAGTAGTAGTAGTAGTAGTAGTAGTAGTAGTAGTAGTAGTAGTAGCAGTAGTAGTAGTAGCAAAAAAAAAAGGTAGTAGTAGTAGTAGTAGTAGTGGCAGTATCCGTAGTATCCGCAGTAGTAGTAGTAGTGATAGTAGTAGTAGTAGTAGTAGTAGTAGTAGTAGTAGTAGTTGTCGTACTAGTAGTAGTAGTAGTAGTAGGAGTAGTAAAAGTAGTCGTCGCCGTAGTAGTAGTAGTCGTAGTTGTGCTAGTAGTAGTGGTAGTAGTGGTAGTGGTAGTAGTAGTAGTAGTAGTAGTAGTAGTAGTAATAGTACTAGTACTAGTCGTAGTAGTAGTACTAATAGTAGTGGTAATAGTATTGGAAGTGGGTCGTAGTAGTAGTAGTGATCGAAAAATGAAAAGTGATAGTAGTAGTAGTAGTAGTAGTAGTAGTAGTTAGTAGTAGTAGTAGTAGTAGTAGTAGTAGTAGTAGTAGTAGTAATAGTAGTAGTAGTAGTAGTAGTACTAGTAGTAGTAGTAGTAGTAGTACTACTAGTAGTAGTAGTAGTAGTAGTAGTAGTAATAGTAGTAAGAGTGGTTGGGGTAGTCGTAGTAGTCGTAATCGCAGTCGTCGTCCTAGCCGTAGTCGTAGTAGTATTAATGACAGTAGCAGCAGTAGTAGTGGTAGTAGTAGTAGTAGTAGTGGTAAAACAAAAACTATAATACTAAAAGTCGTACGAGTCGCAGTAGTAGCCGTAGTCGTAGTAGTAGTAGTAGTAGTACTAGTCGCAGTAATGCTACGAGTAGTGGTCGTGAGAGTAGTAGTAGTGGCAGTCGTAGTAGTAGTAGTAGTAGTAGTAGTAGTAGTAGTAGTAGTAGTAAGACTAGTACTCGTAGTAGTAGTAGTAGTAGTAGTAGTAGTAGTAGTAGTAATAATCGTAGTAGTAGTAGTGGTAGTAGTAGTAGTAGCGGTAGTAGTCGTAGTAGTGGTGGTAGTAGTAGTGGCAGTGCCAGTATGACAAATAGTGTAATAGTAGTCGCAGAAGCAATATCAGCAGCATAATACTTGTAGTAAAAGTACTAATAGCAGTCGTCGTAGCAAAAGTAGTAACAGGCGTAACAGAAATAAGAACGGAAAGCAAAACAGTGGTAGTGTAATGAATTACATTAGATGGGTGTAAAAGTAATAATGCGCGCAGTCGTAAAAGTATGTGTTCCTGTACTAGCAATATGGATGGCAGCAAGAATCGTAGTAGTAGCAGTAGTAGTGGTAGTATTACTAATACTGGTGTGGAAATAGCAGTAGCAAACGTAGAAGTAGTCATAATCGTAGTAGTAATGGTAGTGGTAGCAGTAGTAGTAGTAGTAGTAGTAGTAGTAGTAGTAGTAGTAGTAGTAGTAGTAGCAGTCGTAGTAGTAGTAGTAGTAGTAGTAATAGTAGAGCGTCAAAGAAGAAGTCGTCGTCGTCGTCGTAGTCGTCGTAGTAGTAGTAGTAGTAGTAGTAGGTCGTAGCAGATGTGGTAATAGTATTAGAAGAAATCGTAAACGTAGCGAGCAATAGTCGTCGTCGTCGTCCTGGTAGTTGTCGTAGTAATAGTCGAAATCGCAGTGGTAGTAGTCGTGGTAGTCGTATTACTAGTAGAAGTCGTAGTAGTACTAGCCAGTACTAGTACGAGCCGTCGTAGTAGTAGTAGTAATAATAGCAGTAGTAGCAGTAGTAGTAGCAGTAGTAGTCGTAGTAAGTAGTAGTAGTAGTAGTAGTAGCAGCAGTAGTAGTAGTAGTAGTAGTAGTAGTAGTAGTAGTAGGAGTAGTAATAGTAGTAGTAGTACCAGTAGTAGTAGGAGTAGTAGTAGTAGGAGTAGTAGTAGTAGTAAAAGTAGTAGTACTACTAGTCGTCGTCGTAGATGTGGTAATAGTACGAGAAGTAGTAGTGAACATACTAGAAGTATAAGTAGTAGTGGTAGTAGCGGTAGTAGTAGTAGTAGTAGTAGTAGTAGTAGTAGCAACAGTAGCCGTAGTAGTGGTAATGGTAATACTAGCAATACTAAAAGTAATCCACAGAGTAGTAGTAGTGGTGATCGTAGTAATCGTCAGATTAATACGATGATTAGGACTCAAAGTATTAGCAATAGTAGTAATCGTAGCAGTAGTAGAAGTCGTAGTAGTAGTAGTAGTAGTAGTAGTAGTAGTAGTAAAAGCAGAAATGGTCGTAGACGTAGCAGTAGGTCATAGAAAACGTAGTCGTAGTAGTAGAAACAGTAGGACAATGGTAGTAGTAGTAGTCGTAGTAGTAGAAGAAGAAGAAGTAGTAGTAGTACTGATAGTAGTGAGCGTAACGTAGAAGTAGTGGTAATAGTAAAAATAATCATAATGGGAGAAGTACGAGTAGTCGTAGTAGTAGTAGTAGTCGTAGTAGTAGTAGTAGTAGTAGTAGTAGTAGTAGTAGTAGTAGTAGTAGTAGTAGTAGTAATACGAGTGGTAGGACATTTATATGACAAGTCGCCGTAGCGGTAGTAACCATAATGATAGAGAATGTACGATAGCCCTGGCACGCGTCCGTGACTTGGGAAAGTTGAAACGGTGAGAAGCTCATATCCCTGCCGCACGTTCGAAACTGGGGAACGCTGAAATCGTGGTACCCCACAACACAGAAACACATTAGTTTTCATGTTGCTACTCCACATAAGAAGATGGCAACTTCGATTCGTAACTTTCCCCAACACTAATGAAACTCGGCCTCGCCGTCTCTCTCCCCCGACCAACTCTGCCTTGGCCGGAATTAATCAAGATCGGGCGGTTCAGGAGGGGGAACAATTTATCATCCGGGGCATGGGGTTACGTTATCATGTCTAGTGCGAGTCAAAGACTGTCCCCGCGTAGTTGACGACTGTATCTGGGGTCACTAGTTCCCGCCGTCAGATCCGGCGCGAGGCTCGCTCAGGGATCGGGCACGTCAACCCCCCCCTCCCCGATTGCCCCCCCGAGCCGGTAGACGCTCGACCTCCTCCCTCCGTTCTCTCCTGAACTTTTGGTTCGAGTAACAAGGTTAAGGCTCGCACGCGCGGTACGCTTCCCGCGGCCACTTGCCGTTCCACCAGGAACGACTACCAACGGGAGTCCAGAGGACAGAAAGACTCCCGTACCAATGCCGGAAGACATGGCGCCCTGGCAAGGCTGCGCGAGGCCCTATATATGTGAGCCCCGTGGAGCTCTGGATCCCCGAGGACAGGCTGCTCCGCGTCCTCTGATGCCCGACGTGTGTTTGTTCCTTAATACGGCCCGTTCCCCAGGGCTGGTCCTTGACGGTTCCCTGGGCCTGGCGAGGCTCCCTGAGGCGAGTTGACGGTTCGCGCCTGGAGACCAGCGAGGCCCCCGTAGGCCGAGAAAGGAGAACGGCCTCTGTCTTGCTCCTTCCTCTGCGAGCACCCCCCACGAGGCCCAGAGGGACCCGACATGGAGCGAGAAGCCCAGCACATCTTGGGAAGGAGCACTCCGAGCGGCACCCGATCTCCCTCCGCCTCTCGCCCCCCCTCTTCTCACCTTATAGCTCGGACGTCCCCGTGCACTTTCCGATTTCGTGCGTGTTGATTTCCCGATGATCCAGGATGCTCCTCGATGGTTCTCGCTGAGAAAACGAGCCTCTCGGACGCACGCAGGAGCGACCCGGGGCGCGAGCCACCTGTGGTGCGCAGCTCCCGGGGGGGCCCGCACCCACAGCCCATCCCGACGAAGAGGCACTCCTCCTCCTCCTCCTCCTCCTCCTCCTCCTCCTCCTCCTCCTCCTCCTCCTCCTCCTCCTCCTCCTCCTCCTCCTCCCACGTGCGGACGACACCCCCTCCTCACCAGCCGCTGGGCCCGCGGCCGAGCCCTGGCACCTGCTCGCCGCGCGCTCGGCGGCGTCCTGCGGGCCGCCGGGCAGGGCTGAACCTGAACGGTGCTTCTCGCCCTCGTTTCGTCCTCGTCTTCCCCCGTTTTCTGTCCTCGATTCGCCGTTCCTTACCGCAAAACGAGATCGAAGCGAAAACGGCCCACGAAGCCGCCCAAGACACCGGTCAGGGCCCAGCCCTGCCGCGCCAAGGCGCCACCGGCGCGCTGCCCTTCCGGACGCCCTCCCTGGGGCCGCAAGGGCGGGCCCTCCCGGGAGGGCGGCGGGGCCCCCCCTCTGCCGCCGCAGGGGGCGGCCCCCCGCTCTCCCGCTCTTCGGGAGCGGCCAAGAGGGGGGGTCCAAGAGGGGGGGGTGCAAATCATGACCGGCGGCGTGTGCGCGGCCCCGCGGGGGGGCCAGGGACGTCATGAAACAAGAGGAGGCGCCATGAAGCCTGGAGAAATATCACGGCCCCGCCATGAGTTCCACCCCCCCCCCCCCCTGCCATCGCCCCCCTCTTTTCCGCCCCCGAGCTCTCCCGCCCCCGCCGCCCCCGCCGCGCCCCGCACGGAAGTGCGAGCGGGGGGGGAGGGGGGCACGCCGCGGCGGGGGGCGCCCTGCTCCACCCTCCGGCCTCCTCCGCTGGCCGCCGCTCGGACGTCCATGCGCTGTGTTTTTTATTGGGTTCCGTGCGTGGCTTTCTCGCAGCATGGTCCAGGATGCTCCCTGATAGTCCCCGCCGGGACAAGTCCACCTGCTCCCTGGTCGTCCCCCCCACCCCACCCACCGAGCCGTCCCGGGGTATTAACGCTGGCGCCGCGCGGAACGAGGACGGGGGGGGGAGCGGAAGCTCCCGCCTCCATCCTCAGCCTCCTCCCTCGTCGTCCCCCCCAGGGCACCATTGCAAGCAGGGCGACGTCAAATTGGCCAAAAAGGCCCCCAAGAAGCCCCAAGACAGCCTAAGAGCGCCCGAAGACGGCCCCAAAGGGGACACAGCACACACACACACATTACACTACATGTCACTACACTGCATTACATTACATGACATTCCATCCCATTCTACTACATTGCATTCCTTTGCAACGTATTAGATTGCATGATTTTGCACTGCATTGCATTACACTACATTACATTACATTACGTTACATTGCATTACATTACATTACATTACATGACAAAAATTGCATTACAATCTATTCCATACATACGTACGTATAGACGTGTTTGGCAACCGATGCCATTCCCCAACGGATCTCACGTGAGCCTGTTCAGCGTCTGAACCATCCAGCCGCCGAGTGGGCTCCGTGATGCTGTTGGGAATCTTGCCCGCTCGTGGAAACCGACCGGGCTCCATCCACTCGGCGGCCGACTGATCTCGCACACCGATAGGACTCGGAAGCAACCTCTGGGGCCCAGAGAGTTCCTGGAGGCCTCGTAGTCTCCGAGGGTCTCCTGCAGGTCCCCGAAGCTCTCTGGAGAACAGAAGTGCGCAAACCAAGCGACCCCCCATGACAAATCCTAGGTCGGGCCTGTCCCCCTATAGGTGGATTTTGGGCGAAAAATTAAACATATTCAGAAAATGCCCCAACATGGCCCAAAAAACACTCAAACATCGTCCCCAGACTATTCTCCCACGATGTCTGGATACTCCTCCTGTAGAGGGACCTCGACGACGACGACGACGACGACGACGACGACGACGACGACGACGAAGAAAGGCAGGGCCGTCCGCACGGGGCCGGCCCGCGGCTCGGCTGGCATGGGAAGGACCCTGGGGCCTCCTGGTCCTCCTCCTCCTCCTCCTCCTCCTCCTCCTTCTCCTCCTCCTCCTTTTCCTCCCCCTCCCCCTCCTGCCCCCTAAAACTGGCCCCCTCCTCTCCTCCTCCTCCTCCTCCTACCACTCACTCCTCCTCCCTCCTCGCCTCCTCCTCCTCCTCCTCCTCCTCCGCCTCCTCCTCCTCCTCCCTCCTCCTCCTCCTCCTCCCTCCGCCTCCTCCTCCTCCTCCTCCTCCTCCCTCTCCTCCTCATCCTCCTCCTCCTCCTCCCCCTCCTCCTCCTCCTCCTCTCCTCCTCCTCCTCCTCCTCCTCTCCTCCTCCTCCTCCTCCCCCCCCCCTCCTCCTTCCCCCTCCTCCTCTCCCCCACGCCCCCTCCTCCTCCCCCTCCTCCTCGCTCCCCCTCCCCCTCCTCCTCCTCCTCCTCCTCCTCCTCCTCCTCTCCTCCTCCTCCTCCTCCTCCTCCTCCTCTCCTCCTCCTCCCTCCTCCTCCTCCTCCTCCCTCCTCCTCCCTCCTCCTCCCTCGCTCCTCCTCCTCCTCCTCCTCCTCCTCCTCCTCATCCTCCTCATCCTCGCTCCCTCCTTCTTCTTATTATTCTTCTTATTCTTCTTCTTCTTATTATTATTATCCCCTCCCTCTCCTCCCTCCTCCTCCTCCTCCTCCTCGTCCTCGTCCTCGGCTCACAAAAAAAAATCCTCGCTCCTCCTCCGCGCCTCCTCCTCCTCCTCCTCCTCCTCCTTTCCTCCTCCTGCCTCCTCTTTCCTCCTCCTCCTCCTCCTCCGCCCTCCTCCCCTCCCTCCTCGCCGCTCTGCCCTGCCCTCTCCCGTCCGTCCTCGCTCCTCGCTCCGCCTCCGCCTCCTCCTCTCCTTCCTCCCCCCCCCCCCCCCCCCCCGAGGCTCCTGGGGCGGCCAGGCGCCTCCCCCGCGCTCCCCAGTCGGGCGCCCCCGCGGAGGCCCCTTCGGACATCGTTTGGGTCACGACAGCACGGTGGCGCACCCGCGGCTGCCCTCGGACTGGCTTCTCGCTGTGCTGGGGCAGTCTTAGTTGAGGGATGAAAAAAAACGGCCCTACCCTGGGTTACAAGTGCGTGGTCTGTAAACCTCCTGGGAACCCCCAAAGCCTAGAGCCGCCAGGACGCGGCACATCACGCAGGGATCACCCTGTCAACCCACAGGAGTTTCAGCGCACAACGCCTCGTAAACCAGGGTAGGGGCGTTTTTTACGCCCTTGATTTAGGTCGGGCCTGTTCCCTTCCAGGCGGATGTTGGACGAGACATGAAAAAGATAGTAAAAGAAGACCCCAAAATGGTCAAACATAATCAGAAAAATCTGGCCCTGACTATTCTTTGAATATTTTGGAATATAGCTCCTTTGGAGGGACACGCCCGACTTCAGGGTAGTTCCCTGACGGCCTCGGGTCCCCAGAGGGGCCTTTGAGGGCACGAGACGGGCGAACAGACTCAGAGCCCCCTTCCCTCGGGGCCGCGTCTGCTCATGCACGAAGCGACGACGGGCCTGCCCTACCCAAGAGCCCCTCCGGGGGTGCGTCCTGGCCAGAACGCGCCAAGCGAATCCGACCGTGGCGACGAGGGCTTCCCCAGGAGTAGGGGGCAAACAAACCTACCTCGCTTTTGACCAACCTCGCTTCCAAGAGATACCAAGGGATGCCAAACTACGGCCTGTACTGGTCAGGCCGCTTGACGAGGAGGCGCGTGGTTTGACTTGGTTTTGCCTGGAAGCGAAGGCGGGGTAGGTAACTCACCCTCTGAAGGGGGCCTGCAAAAGGAACAACAACAAAAATTCCACAAACACCTCGGGCCTCGACACGAGCGTCGACGAGGACGGCGCGACGAGACGCCGTCGCCTTCATTGCCGGGGCCCGCCCCGGCAGCTCTTCGGGGGCGGCCAGGAGGGGGGCGCGAATCGTGGCCGGCGGCACGCGCGCGGCCCAAAGGGAGGGCCGTGGACGTATGGACATGAGAAGCGGCGCTGTGAATCTCGGGAGACACCTTTTCGGCGGCAACTCATGGGAGCCTCCCATACCATCTTGTCGGCTCTTGTGAGTCGACGCTACATCGGCGCTTATCGATTCTACATCGACGCTGATCGACACTAGCCGACGCTAAATCGGCGCTATCTCGTCGATTCCCAGACGATGACCGACGCTAACTCACACGCTAAAGACGGAATTCAGAGGGTTACCAAGCTCCCATGATTTACTACTGAAAGATGTCATGGCCCCCGCCATGACATCCGCCCCCCCCCTCTCTGCCGCCCCTCTCTGCCGCCCCCCGAGCCCCCCTCTGCCGCCCCCCCGAGCCCCCCTCTCTTCGGCTACACGCAAGAGTGACCCTGGGTAAGGGTGACCTCTGGTGCGCCGCTTTTTTGGGGCCGCGGGGGACCAGACACAAGCGTGCAAGACTTGATTTTTCGCATCGCGCTCGGCGATCGAAGGGCCCCAATGGGCCCGCACCAAAGGTCTCTCCGGCGAAGGGTCACTCTTACTCGGGAGCGGCCAAGAGGGGGGTGTCCAAGAGGGGGGGGTGCAAATCATGACCGGCGGCATGTGCCCGGCCCAGCGGGGGGGCCAGGGACGTGATGAAACAAGAAGAGGCCCCATGAGATCCTGGGAAACATTATGGCCCACGCCATGATATCCACCCCCCCTAGTCATCACCCCCCTCTTTGCCGCCCCCGACTTATTGGGCGCCCGAACTATCAGGGGTAACTCGGGTCCGGGGTAAGTCGGTTTCGGAATCCCGAAAAACCAACCCGAGTTAGCCCTGACCCGAGCTGCCCCAGATGATTCGGGGCTCTGGACGCCTGAATCATCCGGGGTAAGTCGGATCCGGGGTGAGTCGGGTTCGGAATCCCGAAAAACGAACCCGAGTTAGCCCTGACCCGAGATACCCCTGATGATTCGGGGCTCTGAACTTACGTCTAGTCGATCTCTGCCGCCCCCCGAGCCCGGGTAGCTCCTCCAGGCGGCGCAGCTCCCCGGGCACGTGCGTGCTCGCCAGCCGGTCCTGGGGGTGCGCCCTCCCGCCCTCCCGCGGGCCCCGCGCGCGCGAGGACGGTGCGCCGCCGCCGCCGCCATTGCCGCTGTGGTGGCCGGCGTGGTCATCGTCGTCGTCGTCGTCGTCGTCGCTGGCGTCGGCGTCGGCGTCGTCGTTGTCTTAAGTCGGGCGTGTCCCTCTACCGGAGGAATATTCAGAAACAGTGGGAAAATAGTCGGGAGACGACTTTCGAGTATTTTTTGGCCATGTTGGGGCATTGTTTGGATATGCTTCATTTTTCGCTGGCGTCGTCGTCGTCGTCGTCGTCGTCGCTGGCGTCGGCGTCGGCGTCGGCGTGGTCGTGGTGGGCATCGTTACCGCGGTCGATGCCGTGGTCGTGGACGTGAACGCCGTCGTGGTTGTCGTCGTCGTCGTCGCCGTGGTCGCCGTCGTCGTCGCCGTCGTCGTCGTCGTCATCGCCGTCGTCGTCGTCGTCGTCGTCATTGTCGTCTCGAGGGTCGGATACGGTGCTGCTTCTACGTTCGGGGTGGGGGCTCCCGGAGCGTCAGCGTGCGGAGCCCTAAGGCAACCTCAGGGGAGCCCAAGTGCCCTCCAAAAGACCTGCGTCGTCATCGTCCGTCGACCGTCGACAGTATTCCGTCGTCGTCGTCGTCGTGGTCGTCCATCCTGCGCGTCCTCGTCCTCCTCGTCTTCCCTGTTATCCTCTCCCTCCCCCTCCTCCTCTTCTCCCCCTTCTCCCCCTCCTCTCCTCCTCCCCCTCCTCCTCCCCCTCCTCCTCCTCCTCCTCCTCCTCCTGACCCTGCTCCTCCCCCTCCCCCTCCTCCTCTCCCTCCTCCTCCTCCTCCTCCTCCTCCTCCTCCTCCTCCTCCTCCTCCTCCTCCTCCCCTCCCCTCCTCCTCCTCCTCCTCCTCCTCCTCCTCCTCCTCCTCCTCCAATTCCTCCTTCTGCGCTGCCGCTTTCTTCGCCACGTCCTTCCGCGTGGAGGGCTTCACGACTTTTGTTTCTCTGTCGTCCACCGCCTCGCGCCGCACATTCCACGACTTTCCTCTATAATCTATTGTTCGCCAACTTGATACCAACAAACTGGAAAACAGTATTCGAACACTGAATAATCTGCACCATCGTCCACAAACATCCTGCTGATCCGCCTCACCGCTCTGCATACCCCTTCCTCCTCTTCCTCCTCCTCCTCCTATTCCTCCTCCTCCTCACCCTCCTCCTCCTCCTCCTCCTCCTCCTCCTCCTCCTCCTCCTCCTCCTCCTCCTTCCTCCTGCACTCCTGCAATTGATCCTCCTTGTCCTTTTCCACAGTCGTCTCGCTTTTCCTGTTTCCTCCTCCTCCTCCTCCTGCTCTGTTCTCCTTCCTCCTCCTCCTCCTCCTCGTCCTCCTGTTCCCTCTTGATACGTATCCTCCCTCGTCCGACCCACCACCAGGCGTTCTGAGGAGAAGACCAGGGCCAAACAAGGCGCCAATTAGGGGAGAGTCGGGACGGACAACTCCTGGATACGCCAACCCACCCTCCCCGACCCCACCCGTCGGCCACCCCCTCTCTCCGCGAACCTTCTACCCAGGATCTCGAAGCGAGACACAGGCTCCCGTCGCATCTGCCCCACGGCCCCAGGATGCGACGTCCCTGCCCTCGGCGGGAGGCTGGATGAGCCTGGCGCTTCTTATGCGTCTGTGCGAAACTGTGGACTCGCCCTACTCCTCTCCCTCCGCCTTCTCCTCCTCCTCCTTCTCCTCCTGCTCCTCCTCCTCCCCATCCGCTTCCTCATTAGATTCTCGCCTTCCTCCCATCCTTGCACCCTCCTCATTCTCCCCCGCATCCTCTTCCTCCTCCTCCTCCTGCTCCTACTCCTCCTGCTCCTGCTCCTGGTCCTCCTCCTGCTCCTCCTCCTCACCATTGAGTTAATCTGGATTCGCGCCCCCGAGGCAACTACCCCTCGTAAATTACACCGCATTTGCGCCTCCGAGGTCACGACCCCTCGCAAATCACACCACATTCGTGCCCCTGGGGCCACGATCCACAGTAAACCACACAACACTCGCGCTCCCGAACCCCAATAAATTGCGCCACGAAGCCCTTACGGATAAATGAGAGCGATGCGACGTTCAATGTTTCAGAAACGCGTGCTCGATCCACGGCTGAGAGCAGTTTAGCGACTAATGTCATCTACTTCACGTTGCGGGCGAGCACCCCCGCACAAAGAAATCAGGCTGTAATCTTCTACAAAGAGAATCCATGTGCAATCCGCCACACAAGGAATCCTTTTGTAACCCGCCACAATCGGAATATTTTCGGAATTTGGTACAAAGAAATCCTTTTGTTGGTCCGCCACAGAAGGAATCCGGTTGTAATCCGCCATAAGAAAGGAATTCCTTCAAGGCAAACGTACGATCTGACCGACGGCTCAGGGGGTACCAGGGGAAAAAGAAAAAATAACCAGGGAAAAAGAACAAACGCATGGGACTCTCACGTTTTTGGTGAATTTTTGTTTGGGCAACCCCGCCACAAAAGGAATCCTCTTGTAAGCAGGATTACAAAAGGACTCCTTTTGTGGCGGGGCTACTAGAAGAACAAGTCATCAAAAAACATGAGTGTCATATACTGTCCGTTATTTGTTTCTTGTTCCCTGGTCATTTCCTTTTTTTACCCCCCTGGTACCCCCTGAGCCGTCGGTCAACGTGTACGTCCGGTTTAAAAGAATTTCTTTTGTGGCGGATTCCATAAGGATCCCTATTACGGCGGATTGCAAAAGGATTCCTTTGGTGGCGGATTCCACCAACAATTCCTTCTGCGGCGGATTACAAAAATATTCCTTTTGTGGCCGAGTACAAAAGGATTCGTTTTGTAGTGGTCTGCAAACATATGCATATTGCAGCGGACTGCAAGAAGGATTGTTGTGTGTGTGTGGGGAAATTACACAACAGGATTCCCTTTTTATGACAGGGCTGCTAACCCAAAAACTAATCAAAAAGCGTGAGGGTCCCATAGTTTTGTCTCCCTTGTCCCATTTGTCCCTTCTTGTCTCCTTTGTCCCCTCTTTGTCACCTTTTGTCCCCTTTGCTCCTTTTGTCCCCTTTGTCGGGAATAAGCTCGGCAACGCGCACACTGTAGTGACCAGCGGCACGTACCTGGGACGGCCAGTTGGGCCGTTTTTTGTCGGAAGCAGCAATCAGAAGGCCACGAGCTCCTTAAACAATTCTGTCCGTTCATCCACGCTTCCACCCGGCAGAAGATCCTTGACGAGCCCTGTCTTCCGAGTCGCGGCCACAAGAGGAATTCTTGTGAGATCTGCCACAGAAGAAATCCTTGTGTAATCCGCCACACAAGGAATCCTCTTGAAATCCGCCACACAAGGAATTCTTTTAAGGTGGACGTGCAAGTTGACCGACAGCCCAGGGGGTACCAGGGAAAACATAAAAAAGTCCCAGGGAAATAGTAAGAAAAAACAACAGCAGCAGCAACAAAAACGTATAGGACTGTCACAATATTTTGATGAACTTTTGGGCTAACAGCCCCGACACGAAAGGAATCCTTTGAGAATCCGCCACCAAAGGAATCCTGTTGTAATCCGCCACGAAATGATTACAAACGGATTCCGTGTTTGTGGCGGGGGTTCCCAACCAACAAATCATCAAACAACGTGCGTCCAAAGCGTTGTTTGTATTGCTGTTCTTTTTCCCGGGCCATAATTCTTTTTTTTCGTGGTACCCCCTGAGCCGTCGGTCAACTTGCACGTCCGCCTTTATGAAAGGGATTATTTTTTGTATGGCGGATTCCAACAGGATTCTTGTGGCGGATATCAAGAGGATTCTTTTTGTGGCGGCCCTACAAAAGGATTTCTTGTGTGGCGGATTGCAAAAGGATTCCTTTTGTTTAAAATTACAACATGATTATTTGTGCGGGGGGCTACCCAACGTTTGCGACGGCATCGAAAGCAAAAAGAGGCGCCAGGCTTATCCAGCCTCTTCCCATGCCCCCTCCCCCTAAGGGGAAAAGAGACCCCAGCCGCGGCGCCGAGAACGCCCCCAAAGCTTGTTGCCTCGGAGCTCGATCCTCGATCCCAGAAGTTGAAGTCCCCTTCCGTTTCTCTTCCCAGGTGTGAGGCGCGTTGGCACCAGCGTCCTCTCGAGGTCATAGGGCTGCGAGGAGGTTCGCATCCTGCTCGAGTTTTCAAAAGCCCCAAACTGCGCCGACGGAAATTATAAAAGGGGGGGCTATGCCCCTAGTGGCGCCGTCTTCTGGGATGACCAGCGGGTGCCGTGCTGCTCTTATTGCTGGGCCGCGGCGGCCTGATCAATGTTTCTCCTGCTCCATATCAAGAATATTTCTACATCGCGTGCGCGGGGCGGTCCCTCGGGGTCCCTGGGCGAAACAATGCCCCAGGAATGTCCTGTCAAAAATGCAGAGCCTCCCATGGGGCGCATTGCAGGGCTTCCCGGAACATTTCAGGAGCGCCCCAAGGAACCTCAAGGGAGCTCCAAGAGGGCCTAAGAGTCGGCTGCAACCCCAAATGGTCCCAAACATTCAACCCGGGCCCCTGGAGGCTCAATTTTGATGAGGGCCCCCGGGAAGCCCAACTCTGGAGGCACAACTGTCCTATTTTAGGAAATTGTCCGTGTCCACCTTCCTGGCCGTCCGACTGCCCAAGACGGCCCAAAAAGGCCCCAAGGATCGCCCCAACACAGAGCCCAAGAGGCCCCCAGGTCCGCCCAGACACGGGCCACGAGGGCCCCAAGACGGCCCAAGAGCCGGGAAGCCCCCAAAGAGGGCTCCAGAGGCACCTGACAAAACCCCAAGAGAATCCTCCTCCTCCTCCTCCTCCTCCTCCTCCTCCTCGTCCTCCTCCTCCGAACTGCCGTTTGGAGCCCTGGCCCCCGAAGGGGGCCCCCGAAAGCGACTGGCGGCAGGACCTCAATGGGGCCCCCCAGAGGCCCCCACAGACCCGCGTGACACCCCCGAGGGGCCCCAAGAGGCCGCAAAAATCCCGCACGAGGCCCCCGACAAGCCTCGGAGAAAAAAACCAACGAGCCTCCCGAAAAGAATTCTTGTCCACGACCCGTCTGGCCGAAAACAACTACAACACCACATACTGTATGGGCCGGCGGAATGGACGAAACGATCCGCCGCTCCACCGGGACATGTCAGTTGGCGATTAACAAATTCGTGGGGGTGCGTGCTTGAAAACACCGTTTCCCTGTTCGGCGAATCGCGCGGTGGCGACCGCGGGATTCCAAATCAACGGCGGCAGCGCCGGTGATTAGCGCCGACGCCCAACCGCCAGCGGGAAAGCGACAGACAGCACACACTGGGGGAAGGGAGGGGGGCGGGAGGCAAAGGCGGCACAATCAGAGACCGTGAACCATGGCGACACCTGTTCGATATCAAAAGAACTGCTGTCGGCGCTCGCCCCTGCACTTTCCGTACTCTTTTCTGTCGAAGCGATGCGTTTCCTTTGTCCTGGCTGGAGCCAGGGGGGCGCCAGCTGCCTCGCGGGCCCGCGAGCAAGGTGTGCCGTGGCCAAGAGGGGATTCGTCCAGCAACTCACGTTGCTGATTTCCGAGCGCCCCCTTGGCGCCGAAAGCGGCCATGCATCGAGGACTGGCCCCTCGGCGGGGAGACCGAAACCAGCTGCGCGCAGCAGGTTTCGCAACCCCTCCTTTCCTTCTCAGTCCTTTCGTCCGACCCCAGCAAGGCGGGCAGTCCTCCTCCCTCCTTCTGTCGTGGTCTTTGTACGCGTCGACGACGACGACGAAAACGAGGACGAAGACGAGGACGAGGAGGACGAAGACGACGGGGACGAGAACGAGGACGAGGACGACGGACGGCGGACGGCACACGGCGACGGCGGCGATAACGACGATGCACTGCGGATGCCCTCTGGGGGAAAGGGGGGAGGGTGCGGCACAGGCCCGCTGCAGTCGACGACGACGACGAAGACGACGACAACGACGACGACGACGACGACGACGACGACGACGACGACGACGACGACGGCGGCGGCGGCGACGGCGACAACGACGCGACGACAACGACGACGACGCACTGCGGATGGCCTATGGGGATGCTCGTGTGCGGCGCAGGCCCGATGTACTTGACGACGGCGATGACGACGGCGACAACGACGACGCTGATGACGACGACGGCGACGACAAGCACGGCGAAGACGACGACAACGACGACGACGACGACGGCGGCGGCGGCGACGACAACGACGCGACGACAACGACGACGACGACGACGCACTGCGGATTTCCTATGGGGATGCTCGTGTGCGGCGCAGGCCCGATGTATTTGACGACGGCGACGATGACGACGACGACGACGACAACGACGACGCTGATGGCGACGACGACGACGACAAGCACGGCGAAGACGACGACGACGACGACGACGGCGGCGGCGACGCCTGAGAGGGGGAAAAATTCGCCTCGGATGTGTACGGCCCGTATAACAACATCTATACGAAAAGGCAATCGTCTCGAGGCTGTCACGCAGGGGGGTACACGATCCCCTTGGCGGCGCCAGTGACGACCCCCTGGCGCGTGTGATCAAACAAATGGTTCGCGCCCCTTGGGGTCTATTCATCAGCCCCGGGGGTGGTGGTGGTGGTGGTCACCTGTTAAATCACAAGCTGACACTACGGCGTGTGAGACCACCACTCCATGGTCTGCAAGTCGGGAGCGGCCAAGAGGGGGGGTCCAAGAAGGGGGGGTGCAAATCATGACCGGCGGCATGTGCGCGGCCCAGCGGGGGGGCCAGGGACGTAATGAAATAAGAAGCGGCGCCATGAGATCTGGGGAAATATCATGGCCCACGCCATGATATCCACCCCCCCCCTAGTCATCACCCCCCACTTTTCCGCCCCCGAAGGTGCCAAGTTTCTGGGCGCCGCCGGGCCTTCTCGGAAACCTCTCTGGGAGCCTCCCACGCCGGTTTGGCGGGACCACCCAGGGCCCTCCTGGGCTCATCTTGCCTGTCATCGGGGCCACCTTGGGCTGTTCTGGATGCCTCTCCACCTTCGCTTGGGATCAGAACACTTGCAATCCCCGATGAAAAACAAGAACTCGTACCACACATAAGGTGTTGAACCTTCCAGCCGTCTCGGGCTCCTCCTTGCGCATCTCTTCGAACTGCCGTACCTCTCCCTGAGCTCCTCCTTCCATCTTGAAGTTTGCGGATGCTCTCTACGGCCGTCGTGACTGCCTCTCGGGCCTACTTTAGTAGTGGAAACAATTGGTTTTCAAAATGTTTGGTCTTTAGAATCTCTGCGTGGCGACGCCCCCGTCGCCACGCGTGCCCTCTGCGTGCCTGCGGGGGCGCCGCCACGTAGAAGTACTGGACACCGAGCATTTGGGGCGTCGCTACGCACGCCCTCTGCGTGGCTGCGACCATTTCTTAAAACCCTAAGACCAATTAAATTGACTAATAAAGTACCCCTGAGCTGCCTGGGCGCCTTCTGGGTAATATTTTTCGGTCGTCCGTGGCGCCCCCAGAGAGCCCGGGAGCCCCTCCAGGAGCCCAAAACTGGGCGGGGATGGCTCCCCCTTCCGTTCCCGGGTGCACCGCGCTCCGCCGCGCTCGACACCCTCTGGCCTGTTGTTATGCTCCCCTCGGGACCCCCTGGCGCCCTCTCTGACTTAAGGCTGAACCTAAACGGTGTTGTTCGTTTTCGTTTTGTTTTCGTTGTCCCTCGCTGTTGCCTCGAGTCCGCCTGTACCGCCAAACGGAGTCGAAACGAAAACGGCCCACGAAATCGCCAAAACACAGTTTAGGTCCAGCCCTGGTCTATTTTTATGCTCCTCTTGCGCCCTCCCTGAGGGCTCTCCATGCCTCATTGCGGCCGTCGCGGCGACTTGTCGGGGCCCTCCGCGGCTCCATAGAGGGTGGGGCCGTGGCGTCTGCTCCTTCGGGGGCGTTCCATTGAAGAAGGTCCGCTGCTCTCCTTCCAATGCGATGGCCTCGGCGGTGAAGGATACTAAACGTACTCATGTGTAAATACAACTGGTCATGTGATCTGAGAAGTCGCCCATCCCTCACGACTCCCCCCTCGCCCCCTGGCCATCCCCATCCCGCGTGCACTTCCTCCATCGCCCCCTTCCCCCCCTGCACCGTCATCCCCTCCCTCCTGCAGCCCCCCCTCCCCTTCCCGCTCACCTCCTTCTGCTCCTCTCGGGGGTGCGCAAACATGGATTATCGGGTCGGGCGAAAAGGGGGGATAGCAAAGGGGGGGTTTGAGAATCAGCTCACGTAGCTGGTTTTCCTGGCGCCTCCCGGCGCCGGAGGCGCCCATGTATCGAGGAAGGGGCCCCTCGGTGGGGCCGCAACCAGCTGCATGCAGCAAATGTCGTACCCCCCCCTTTCCCAATCCCTCCCTTTCGTCCGGCCCGAGATTAGCGATCCATGGCTTTGGCGCGCGGTCGCCAAATCCATGGATCGGGGGAGGGGCCCTCCCCAAAATGCTGCCCGTGCCGCCTCGCTCGTCGGTGGAGATCCGCGATATTCCCCATGGCACTGGGACCCGTCGCTAACCCGCGTCCCCTCGATCCATGCTTGCGATCGCCTGCTCCGCCCCCTCCCCCTCCCGCATGGGGGGGAGGGGATGATGAGGAGGAGGAGGAGGAGGAGGAGGAGGAGGAGGAGGAGGAAGAGGAGGAGGAGGAGGAGGAGGAGGAGGAGGAGGGGGAAGGGGAGGAGGAGGAGGACCCCCCCCGCGCACACTGGTCCGCGCGGCGGATGAGGCGAGCCAGCGCCTCGGAGGCCGACGCCGCGCCCGGCGGCGAGGCCTCCTGCGTTGGGGGGGGGCAGCTGGCGGCGGATTCGGCCCGCGCCCGCGCGCCGCGCCGCGGGCCCCTCGTCGTCGGCCTCCTCGCGCGCGCTGCTGCCCTGGCCGTGGCCTCGAGGCTCGAGTGACGACGTGGAGGTTTCTGTTTCTGCTGGGGGTGCCTCGACATCCTGAGAGTCTTCACCAGCCTCGAACGTACCCCTATCCCTAAGATTCACGCCAAAAGGCGATGACAATCTTAGGGATCCGCCCTCAAAAAATAAGGGAATCCCTAAGATTGGCATCGTGATGAGGAGGTGCCCAGCACAGGGATAGGGATATGTTCCAGGCTGGTAAAGTCTCCCAGAGGCTTCTCGTCGCCGCGACTTGACTGGCACCAAGGCTCTGGTCCGATCGCACCCCTGGAGACGTCCAAGGCTCCTGCTCCCTCTCGTCCTGCTCCTCCCTCTACACCCCCACGTTCCCCGTTCCTACAGCCCCTCCCCGTCAAAATCCTCATCCCCATCTTCCCTCCCGCTCCTCGTCCAGGTCCTCGTCTCGGTCCTGGACTTTGCCGTCCTCGCCCTCCGCGCTTTCCTCTCGATCCTCCTGTCGCGCCTTCCTCGCCATCCCTCGCTCGCCTCCCGTCGCCCGTCTGCGTCATCGTCGTCGGCTTCGCCCTCCTCTTCGCCATCCTCCTCCTCCTCCTCCGCCTCCTCCGCCTCCTCCTCCTCCTCCTCCTCCTCCTCCTCTCCCACTGGAGGAATGAGGACAAGGAGGACCGAGGAGTTGTTTCAACCTCGGCCGCCTGAACCACACTGGACCGGCATGAGTCATGAGTCATTAGGGCCAAAGGACGGCCGAACCGATCGATCCCTCAAAGACAGCGTTGCTCGATGGCACTCCCGCCTCTGGGAACGCCCCTCTGGGCACTCGCCATCTATCTCTGTGTTTCTCTCTCTCTCTCTCTCTTTCTCTCTCTCCCTCTCTTTCTCTCCCATTCCCTTGCTGATGCACGTCCTGAGATCCGCAAGGATTTCTTGCGCCAGCCAAGGGCTGCGCTGGAGGCGCCGCCAGGGACCTCCGCGACCCAAGAAGTCCCCGGGGACCTTCGAAAATCTAGCGTTTATGGCTATTTTGCTTTCCGTGGAGGAGGAACGAATAACAACACGATGACGAAGACAGCGGCGACCACGACGCGAACGACGACGACAACGATCGCCTGCCCGAGCTCACCCGAGGGCTTCAGAGGGGCTCTCAGAAGCACGAAACAGATGCCACGAACACCCCAAAAACCTCGATCCATCGACGACGACGAAACCCGCTCCATATCAACGACGAAGTCCACGCTATCCGCTCGAAGTCCGCTCGAGGTGTTTGGCTGTCCCTCCTCCCCTTGAGCAGAAATCGACCGTCCTGGCATTCCTGTAGTCCTACCACGAAGTGTTCTTGGACCCCAAAAATGTTCTAGGAACAAAATCCACGTTCTTAGAACAGAAGCCCGATGGGACAAAACAAGACCGACTCCGCCAGAACTGCTCTGAGAACATCTCGTGGAAGCCACAAAAGGCTCTTAGAACACTGCTTGGTAAGGATGTAGGCGAGCCGGGACGCTTCGCCACTGCTTGAGAGGAGGGAGGCTGGGTAGTCGAAGCCAATCTGGCGCCAATCTGGCAGGCCCAATAGTTGGCAAGCGGGGGCCATCTGGCGCGGGAGCCAACACGCGAAGCCAGCCTGGCGAAGAACCCTGAATCCTCCAAGTTGGCCAGGCCAGACTGGCCCTTGGGGCCCAATCCAATCTGCCGGCCTGCCCCCCCCTCCCCTGGCTCCCTTTGCTAGAGGCCTCCTAGATGGGGTCCGAGTAGATGGGGTCGAAGGATCGCGCCGCATCGCCAATGCATCGCCGATGTATGGGCGATGCATCGCCGATGCATCAGCGAAGCCGGCGAGGCATCGGCGACGTCGGCGTGGGAAAGTCGGGCGCCACATCGAGCCGCATCGTCGATGTATCGGCGATGCATCGGCGATGCGGCGCGATCCTTCGACCCCATCTACTCCGACCCCATCTAGGATCGGGGAGACGTAAGACCCGGGTACGGGGGACTCGGAAATCCCCGACGAGGTCGTCAAAAAAATGACGAGGCCGAGCCTGCATTTTGACGAGGCCTCCCGCTGCAGACATCCCACAAAACGCCTCCTCGTCAAAATCCGAGTCGCGGTCGTCAAAAAACGATGGCGAACCCGAGTCCTGGCAAACACGGGTCTTACGCTCCCCCGATAGGAGGCCCAGATCTGCACCACCCGCACTGCATCGCTTCCACCGCCGATGCCGGCATCCGCCTCGCCCCGCCCACGCGCCCGCACGGCCCGCGGCCCCCCGTATAGAGGGCGCGGGCGCGGGCCCCTCCCGGGGGGCCTCCCCTTAAAGAGGCCTCCTTTACCAGCCTGCAGCATATCCCTATCCCTGTGCTGGGCATCTCCTCATCACGATGCCAATCTTAGGGATTCCCTTATTTTTTGAGGGCGAATCCCTAAGATTGTCATCGCCTTTTGGCGTGTCAATCTTAGGGATAGGGATACGTTCGAGGCTGGTGATTGATCGCCAGAAAGAATTTCGAGCACCGGAAAAGCACCGCAGCTCGAGGGTGTTTGCACGTGTCGGGCCCGGGGAGACCCTCGCCCGACACGCTTTCGACACGCTTTCGACACTCTTCCGGGTGCTCGAAATTGTTTCTGGGATGTGGTCCTGCAGTACGATCGGCGCTGATGGGGTCGGCGGATCGCGCCCGCATCGCCGCTGCATCGGCAGTGCAACGGCGATGCAACGGTGGTGCACCGTTGCGATGCCTCCTCGACGCCGGCGATGCATCGGCGACGTCGACGTGAAGCAGATCTGGCCCAGCATCGAGCCGCATCGGCGATGCATCGGCGACGCGGCGCGATCCCCCGCCCAAATCTAATCGGTCTCCATCTATGAGGCCTCTAGACTATCCCGCCGCGCACCAGGCCTGGAGGCCGAGACCCAGGCCGCACACGGGAGCCGAAAATCCGAGGCGGTCTCCCGGAGCCGGCGACTGCCCGTCCCTCCACCGACGTCGCATTCGTCCGCCCTCTTTGCTTCACGGATGGGGCACTTGCAAGTGGAAACGTGTATCTCACGTGTTTGCATCGTGCTTGTGAATTGTTCATCTTGCCCATCCTCATCCTTCTCCATCTCAGAGGCTCTTCCCTGGGGCTGGCTCCTCGTCCTGGCTGATGCTCTGACGGCTGGCTGGAAAACGGCATTGATGGGGCCGACAACGAGCCCAAACCGGCAGTGGCGACTTTTGTTGGTCCCGACGACGTCGACTGCCCACCGTTGTTCACCGATGGCCGCCTGCATGCCATCCCGACCACAAGTCCCCGCTCTGACCCCCCCCGCGCCGAGCCCACCCCGCATCGCGATCCAGCTCCCACTCATCCCGACGCCGGACCGGCCCACACCTGGTCTCCACATAATCCATCTCACGCTAGTGGAACAACCACCCCCAAGACGACGAGGACCCATTATTCCAGCGATATCGACGACGACGACTGCCCCGACAGAAACCGTTGGGACGCCGACGACGCCAACGATTCACTCGGCGACGACGCCACAACAACGACGACGCCTCACTCGACGACAACGACAATGACGACGACTGCTCAGACGACGACGACGATGACGACGACGACGCCGACGACGCCGACTACGCCGACTACGCCGCCGACGCCGACGCCGACGCCGACGCCGACGCCGACGACGACGCCGACGCCGACGCCAACGCTGACGTCGCCGCGGCCGCCGCCGAATACGACGACGAATACGCCGACGGCTACGCCGCCAACGAATACTGCGCCACCATGTAATCCGACGCCGACAAGACGACGACGATGCCGACGGCGCCGACGACGACGACGACCGCGGCGGCGACGCTCCTCCTCGGACGGGCCCGCCTCCCCGTCGCCGCTCGCGGACGTGGCGGCGGCGCGCAGGTCGGCCCGCAGGCCCTCCGGCAACGCGCGCGACACCGTCGTCGCCGCAGCCGCCGCCGGCTTCGCCGCTGGCGCCAACGCCGGCACACCCGTGGCTTTCACGGATGTCGTCCCGGTGCCGCCGCCGTGCTCGGCGGCCCTCGGCCGAGTCGCAGAGCATCCTTGATCGGCTGCACGCAAGAGTGACCCTGGGTATTAGAGTGACCTTTGGTGCCCGGCTCTTCGGGGTCCGCGGGGGGGCCAAACACAAGCGCACAAGCGGATGCTGTCGCATCGCGCTCGGTGGTCGGGGGACCCCAGTGGGCCCGCACCAAAGGTCACTCCGGCGAAAGGTCACTCTTACGTCTAGTCGGCTTGGGCAGGGGCCATCCGTTCCGGCACTCCTACAGGGCTACAACGACGCGTTCGTAGAAAAACGAATACTCCCAGGACGAGAGAACCATGTTCTTAAAGCGAGACAGCCTTAGCCAAACATGTTCTAAGAACGTTTCGTGCAAACACACAAGAGGTTCTTATTAAATTCTGTTGTGGGCCTATAGGCAAGCCTGGACGCTTCACCACTGCTTAACATCAGCCGTCGCCGCCGTCGCCGCCTGCGCCAGCGGCGGAACACCAGTGGCCTTCAGAGTCTGTTTCGCCGCCGCCGCCGCGTGGCCCAGCGCCCTGCCAAATCGCAACGCATATGGTGCTTGATGCCTGTGTATCCTTGGGTCAGTCACTGGTGATACGTCGGTTTCCATTGGACGCCACTTCGTTTTGCAATCTGTTTTAGCACCATGGCCATCAAACCGACCGGGCCCAGGAATAATCAGATACGGCAAAAAGGCAACGCCAAGCAACACTGACCACACACACACACACACACGCACACTTTCCTCGTCGCTGCGGCGTGGCAGTGCGTCAGCGCGGCGGACACCCCTCGCGGGGCACACAGCGTCGACAAGACATCCTGGCGACGGACCCCACAATCTATAGTTGTAAGTTGCATCGTTTCGGGGAATCGCCTCCGGGGGATCTCCTCATGTCAGTGCCGGGGCCACGGAGCAAGCAAGCAAGCAAAGGTCCGATCGGACGCCTCAAAGCGTCACGCCCCACTCGTGAGGACGGCGAAACTGTAAAACAGGCCTGCCATGGCGAGCAGCGCTGGCGGCGAAGGAGAAAAATTGGATGCAGCATTGACAGGCGTGCAATCAACTCGGAGCCAAACGTTTTGGGCTCGCCCCCGACGGCGCCACGGCGGGCCGCTGACGCAGCCGACTCTGGGCAGGCTCGCCCCGGCCGCGGTTTTCTCGGCGGCGTAGAAGCCGCTCGGAGGCCGACCCGCACAGCTGCGGTCATCCTCCGCGGGCTCGACGCCAATCCTCGCCATCGCTCGGACGTCCATGCCTCGTGTATTGTTCGATTTCGTGCGCGTTTTTTCCCCCAACTGATCAAGGATGGTCCTCGATGGCCGTCGCCGAGAAAAAATGCACACGTCCGAGCGATGCCAAGAATCCCGCCAGCCCCCTTGCGCAGAGGTGGTCCAGTGCGTTTCCTCTTCCCCTCCCCCTCCGCCTCGTCGAAAGGAGAGCCCGCCCTTCCCCCACCCCCGTCCCCGGGTCTGGACGGGGAGGGGGCGCGAGGCGGCGAAGCGCCCAAAATGGCCCAATCTGGTTCCAAGGTGGCCCGAAGGAGCCCTACATGAGCCCCAGGACCGTCTGCAGCAGTCCATATTCACAGCGCTACGTATCAAGGCGGCCCCACGAGAAGTCAACCGCGCGCGTCATCCACGGTCGCGCGAGGGGCTGAAGCCCGCGCTGCTGCTATCGCCCCAGAGCTCCCACTGCGATCAAACGAGGGTGCGTTCGTGAATTGCCCACGTCCACGGCAGGGCGGCGCGGCGATGACGGGCGGGCTCAACATGGCCCAACAAGCCGGCAAAGGGAGCCCGAGAGGGAAACACTGCGGCCCACAGAGCGCCCAAGGGTGCCCCATGAGCGCGCCAAGAGGGCCCCAGGATACCATTCCTCGGGGCCCAAAAAATGCAAGGCCGCCGCGGACGCCCTTTCCGAAAACAGCTCCTCGCAGCACGGGCCAGCGAGGGCCCACGGGGCCCCGAAGAGGGCCCCAAGGGAGCGTCAGAAGGACCTCGGTATCTTCAGAAATGGCGCCAAGAGGGCTCCACGCGGCCTCGAAGAGGCCCCGAAATCGAAAAACCCGCGAAACCCTTGATGCATGATTCTTCTCGTCGCCGCAATCCTCATCGTCGCGGACGTCGCCATCGCCGCAGCCGTCGTTCTCGTCGAACCGGAAGCCCCGAGGCGGCACGGTCAGGAGGCAACTGCTGGGAGGTTGTCGTCGGAAAGATCAAGGAAGATCAAGCCCCATGTGGGAGCTGTCACGCCGGAAAGGGCCTCGGATTCAGCGGGATTAAGCCGGATTGAGCGGGATTAAGCGGGATTCAACGGGGTAAGCCAGATCAAGACGGATTTCGGACCAGGGCAAAATCAGAATTTGACCTCCCAGGAGTTGCATCCGAAGCACGGGGCCGCAACGCAGCGAAAAACTGGAATGCCGAATCCCGACATGCAAGATATGCGTTGGGGGGACAATTCTCTACCTTTCGGAGGCCCACGGATCTCCGGGGTCGGCGCTGGACTCCCCGCCCATCGCTCCCTTCCTTGCGCGCGGAGCGCGCTGGGGGCGGCACAGGAGACGCTCTCCAGAGCCGTGCTTAAACAGCTCTTTGTTAGGTTGGCATTATTAGGGAAATGCGCTCTCTACTTTCCCAGATGGAGCTTTTGAGATACCCTCGGCTTCCAGAAGCGCCCTGGGACTCCAAGGGGGGACCTGACAGCCCCATGGGCCCAAAACCGCCCCGCAAATCCATGGCACTCAACGACCACTTGGTACCCGCCTCACCGATCGAGACGACCCTGCAGGACCAGCCGATGCTCCCGAATACCAGCCCAGACGGCCCGAGGACCTCAGCATGCTTGTCCCTGGGAAACAGCACGCTTACAACCACTTCGACAGCTGATTCATGTTCTTGCCTTGCCGCCCTGAAGGGCGCGATGTGGCCTCTCGCTGGCCTCAGAATGACCTTCGGGCCGCAGCGGACGACATCACAACGGTCCAGCGGCCGACCAGGCACAACTCGGGGAGCAATGTTCCCTCCCGCCCTGCGCGAGTCCCTTGCGTCGACGATCTCTGCAAAGGGGTGCTGAAGCCGATGTCTCTCCCCCCACCCGTGCAAGGAGCCCAGATGCCCCGGCCAGAGGCTGCTCTGAAGAATCACCTCGAGAGCCCGAACACGCTGACCCGGGCCGAGGGCGCCCGAAGACTGCCCCCACCGATGGCCCCAGACCCGCTCGCAGATAGCATTATGTCGGGCGTGTCCTCCTACAGGGGGATGTTCGACGAAAAATAAAATAACATACCCCCAAAATACCCCAACAAGGTCAAAACATACTAAAAAAATAGTCCCCCGACTATTTTCGGATTATTGTTTGATTATTCTGGGGGTATGTTTGATTTATCGTCGAAAAATATTCTGGGCGACAAAAAATATAAAATACCCTACAAATGCCCCCAAAAGGTCAAAACATACTAAAGAAATAGTCCCCCGACTATTTTCTGATTATTTTGGGGGTCTTATTTTTCGTCGATAATCCCCCTGTAGGGGGACAGGCCCGACGTAAAGATAGCACAGGCCAGCCCACCGCAATCACAGGAAGCATCCCCCGCGGCGGCCTCCGGAGGACGAGGAGGAGGAGGAGAACGTGGAGGAAGAGGAGGGGGAGGAGGAGGAGGAGGAGGAGGAGGAGGAGGAGGAGGAGGAGGAGGGGGAGGAGAGGAGGAGGAGGAGGAGGAGGAGGAGGAGGAGGAGGAGGAGGAGGAGGAGGAGGAGGAGGGGGAGGGGGAGGAGGAGGGGGAGGAGGAGGAGGAGGAGGAGGAGGAGGAGGGGGAGGAGGGGGAGGGGGAGGAGGCCCCCCCCCCAACGTGGCAGCCACGGGTGTCGCGCTCCGCGGCACGGCGAGCCGCTGTGCTGGCAGCTGAGGGCCGCCCCTGCCCTGCCCCACCGGGCGTGCACTTGGACGCCAGAAATGGGCACGGAAAGATTGGGGTACAATGCCCAACAGCAGTTCTCAGAGGTTCTCGACTTATCCTTGCTGATTTTAACCTCGTCCTGGCTTCGTCTAATCACAAGCGCCCAGGGTCGGCACGAACGAAATGGGTACAGAAAGATTGGGTACAATGCCCAGCAGCAGTTCCTGTTCATTCTGAACAGGACTCGCTGTCGGTGTCGCCGCGGCCTGTGTCCATTCGAGGCAGAAGGACGCCTGCCCAACGGCGGCCGCTGTCGGTTTCGGACAACATTTGCTGTTGGGCATTGTACCCATGTTTTCCGTGCCCATTTCGGGCGTCCAAAGTACAGCTGCCAGGCCTGACACCTTTCGGCCAGAGCTCCCGGTTATGCAAGCACGCCCGCAACAAACTTCTAAGCACTGCTGGCGCGCCAGAAAAAAAAGAGCTGTCCTCAAGCTGCTCGACCGCCCTCTGCACCGCAGGCAGCAGCGTGCTCACGCCAGGTGATGGCACCTGCCCCCAGTCTGCTCCCGTGGCGTCTCTCGAGGGCCAAGATCACCATTGCGGAGAGCAGCTGAACACCATCGGATAAGATCAACGGTGGCACCCACGCAATCTTGCGGCTTTCTCTTCGCTGCCAGTGGCGAGGATGTGTCGACAAAAGACGGCAGAGCAGACGTGACGACGACGAAAAGCAAAAACGCGACGCGGGTGCATAAATGCTCTGGCGAGCATCAGCTGCGTAACCAGGACCGAGAAGACTGCGGCTGGGAAATTGTTTACGGTTGCAAACGAATGCGTCGTCTGCCAAGTAACGCGCTTGCCAGATCACACCGAAGCACGGGAAGACATTGCTGCAAAAGGGAAAGCACGGGGCACCTCACGGTCGACGCGCGGAGGAAGCGTGTCCTCGCAAGCGTCGCATTCGCCGCCCTGCACAACAATGCAAATGCTCTCACGCGCACTGCGTCCGCACGCTGCGCAAGATGCCGCGCAACCAGACAACATGCAGATCGGCCCACCCGCTTGGGTGCAAACGATTCAACGAAGCAGCTCTTCCCAACCTCCTCTTCGCCTTCGGGAGTGAGTCGGAGGCGTGCCCCTCTCCCTGGCCCCCCTCTCAGGGTCCGGACCGAAGGGCGCGACGCTTCAGAGCGTCCAAGACAGCTAGGCAAAGACCACTAATGCCTGCAAGATGGCACAACGTAGCCAAGGATAGCCCAATAATGATTCCAATCTGCCTCGAAAGTGGCCTCAAGACGGCTCAGGCTCCAAGAGCGCCCAAGGGATCCCCAAGAGGGGACCAGAAGGACCCAGAGACGGCTGCGACGGCCCCCAAAAGTGGCCCCACAGCGCCCCCAGATAGCCCTGAACGAACAAGTGCACAGCCGTTCCCATGAATTGTAATAGATGAGCAACCTAAGGCGTTTGAGATAGTTTGGTCATTCGAAACCATTCCTGGGCGGCGTTTGGGCCAACATGTGTCCACAATGGCTCCGAATGCTGTGTGATGCCCCAAGATTTCTCCAGAATGGCCATAATGTTTCCAAAGTGGCCAAATGGCGCGTAATGGTCGGCGTTGAGCCAAATGGGAGGGCGCGCCGTTGGACCTCCCCAAGGGGGTTGGGTTGGGACCCCCCCCCCCTTTTCTTCGGTCCGTTGTCGGGAATCCCCCCCTCCTTTTCTCCGGTCCGTCGTCGGGGACCCCTCCCCCCTTTTCCCGGTCCGTCGTCAGAGTACACCCCCCCCTTTCAAAGGGAGAGGGGGGTCCAACCCCCCCCCTTGAGCTCGAAATTCGACCCCCCCCCTCCAACCCTTTCGCCACGCCGCCCCCTGACTCCAGAACCCGCCCCCCCACGACCACCCCTAACCCTAATCTTCACCCTAACCCAACCCCTAACGCTAGCCCCAACCAGTACTCGATACTCACTAGCCACTACCAACTACTCACTAATAGCTACTCACTGCTTCCTACTCACAACTCCCCTCCCTACTCACGAATCACTCACTACTCTATACTCACTGCTCACTACTCACTACGCACTACTCACGTCCCATTACTCCCTTCTCACTACACACTAAACACCATCCACTACTCAGAACTCACTGTTCAGTAATCACTACCCACTGCTCCTTACTCAGTAAGCACTACTCACTATGTTCTATTCGCTACTCCCTGCACAGAACTCGCTACTCAGCACTCACTACCCACTACTCGCTACTCCATTCTCGATACTCGCTGCGCAATACCCACTTCTCACTATCCGCCACTCACTACTCGCTACTCTCTCTACTCACTACTCTCTAAACACTACACACTACACACTACTCATTACTCACTGCCCACTACTCGCTAGTCCCTACGCGGCACTGGCTACTAAGTACTCCCTATTCACCTCTCACTACTCACTACTCACTGCCCACTACCCGCTGCGCACAACGCCAAACTCCCTAGTCACTTGTCACTTGTCACTACCTACCACTCACTATTCCCTACTCGCCATTCACTACTCACTATTCATTATTCACTACCCACTACTCGCTACCCACAATTCACATCTCATTACACACAACTCACTACACACTACTCACTACTCAGGACTATCTACTCACTTCTCTCTACTCGCTACTCCCAGCTCGCACTCAATACGCACTGCTGACTACTCCCTCCTCGCTACTCACTAGTCGCTTCTCTCTACTCGCTACTGGCTACTCAATAATTTCTATTCACCATCCACTACTCACAACTCACTGCTCACTACTCACAACTCAGAACTGCCCACTCACTGGTCACTACTCACTACTTACTACTAACTACTGAATACTCTCTACTCACTACTCACTACGTACTACCCACGACCCACTACTTACTACTCACCACCGACTAAAACACTACCCACTACTCACGACCTCCTACTCCCTACGCCCTACTCCCAACTCATTACTCACTACTCACCAGTCACCATTCACTGCTCGCCACTCACTAGTCACTACTCACTCCTCCCTACTCACTGCGCACTACTCACAACTCATTACTCACCAGATCGCTACTTACTTCTCACTACCCCTACTCCCTATTCACTACGCAATACTCACTACTCACTACGACTCACTACTCACTACTAACTACTCACGAATCCCTACTCCATACTCCCTGCCCACCTTCTCCGGCGCAGAATGGAGTAGCGGGAGAGGCCCCTCCACGGCTCCCTGTCCGGCGCAAAGGGGGGTTCGAACCCCTCCTTTCCAGCGCCAGGGAAAGGGGGGTCCGGAACCTCCCCCCCCCCTTCAAGGGGGGGGTGGGTTTGGGAACCCCTCCCCTTAAGGGGGGGAGGGGGGGGGGTCGAAAAACTCACCCCCCCTTTGAAGGGGGGGGGGGTCCGAATTCCCCCCCTTCCGTTTCAATTACAGGGTGATCCAATTGCGCGCGTTCTCAAAATGGTCTCAACCGTGCCACGGCTACAAGTGACAACAGAGCAACCCAACAATGCAGCCGAGAGACCAGCAACCTTTATCCTTCTCGCCATTTCGCTTCTGATGGGTTTCCGAGCCCTCATGGTGGCTTCAAGATCGCCCAAGTGAGCCCCAGGAGGGCCCCAGCCCCAAACGCGCCTCAAGACGGTCCAACGAGACGATTGTTCGGGTTCCAGATGGGCACTGCTGGTTGACGCCGCCACCTTGTTTGATCGATGGTCTTCCAGATTGCAAGCAGGCCCCAAAAGCCTCGGCCCATCACCCACTCCTATTCCTCAATTCCTCCTTGTCGTCCGCTTTCCCTCCCCGCGCCGCACTCAACGCTGACAACCATATGCAGTAAAAAGTACCGTCGTTGCGGGTATCGCCTTCGAGGGATAATCCTCATGGGGCCATAGAGGATGCGAATGGTGTGCCAATATCGGGCGGGGCCGACATGTGGGCGCTGCTACTGGGGCTTTAGGTGAAGCTACGATGGGACCGCGAAACGTGTGAGGGGTGCGCCGCAATGGGGCGGGGCCGACACTGTTGCCACTGAGGCCTTCGGTGCAGCTCCCTGTGGGGCCACGAAGCGTTGCATTGGGCAGGGGAGACGCAAGCGAAGACCACCACCGAGGCATTCGGTGCTCTGAGGCTTTCGGTGGAGCTCCCCATGGGGCCACTGAACGCCGTACTGGGAGATGGAGACGCATGCGAACACCACCACTCAAGCCTTCGGGGGAGCCCCCGATGCGGCCACGAAGCGGAATACTGGTTTGGGGAACCGCATACGGACACCGCCACTGGGACCTTCGGTGGGGCTCCCTATGAGCTACTGGGTGGGGGGGAAGCATGCGGACAACGCCGCTGAGACCTTCGGTGGAGCTCCCCATGGGGCCACGAAACGCTGTACACGGCAAGGGAGACGCATGCGAACACCGCCACTGTGGCCTTCGGTGGGCTCCCTATGGGGCCACGAAGCGCTGTACTGGGTGGGGCAACCGCATGCGAATATCACCACTGAGGCCTTCGGTGGAGCTCTCTGTAGGGGCACGAAACGCTGTACTGGGTAAGGGAACCGCATGCGGACACCGCCGCGGAGGCCTTCGGTGGAGCACCATATGGGGCCACGATACGCTGTACTGGGAGGGGAAGCCGTATACGAACACCGCCACTGAGGCCTTTAGTGGAGCGCCCTATGGGGCCACGAGGCGCTGTACTGGGTGGGGGAGACGCATGCGAACTCTGCCACTGGAGCCTTCGGCGGAGCTCCCTATGGGGCCACGAAGCGTTGTACTGGGCGGGGGGGCGCATGCGAGTGCAGCTATTGAGACCCTCGGTGGAGCCCCCGATGGGACCATAAATTGCTGCCATGGGTGGGGGGGGGGGGGCGCATGCGAGTGGAGAGACTGGGGCCTTTGGTGGAGCTCCCTATGGGCCACGAAACGTTGTAATGGGCGGGGGGCACGGCATGCGAATGCAGCCACTGAGGCCTTCGGTGGATCTCCCTACGGGGCCACGAGACACTGTAACTACTGGGTGGGGGGGGGCGGCACGCGAGTGCAGCCACTGAGACCTTTGGTGGAGCTCCCTATGATATGGGGCCACGAAACCTGAGCTGGGCGAGGGAACCGCATGCGAATACCACTTCTGAGGCCTTCGGTGGAGCTCCCTGAGGGGCCAACGCTGTACTGGGAAGGGGAGACACATACGAACACCACCACTGAAGCCTTCGGGGGAGCCCCCGATGGGGCCACGAAACGGAATACTGGTTTGGGGAACCGCATGCTGACACCACCACTGGGACCTTCGGTGGGGCTCCTTATTGGGTCACGAGACGCTGTGTGGGGCCACGAAGCGCTGTACACCGCGTTCGAGTGCAGCCACTGGGGCCTTCGGTGAACTCCCCATGGGGCCACGAAGAGCCTTACTGGATGGGGGAATTGCATGCGAGTGCAGCCACTGGGGCCTTTTGTGGAGCTCCCTCTGGGGCCACGAAGCGCTGTACTGAGTGGGGGAAACGCGTACTGATGAGGGCAGGGGCAAGGAGGGGGAGGAGGGAGGAGGGGGAGGCGGAGGAGATGAGACGCGGGGCGCTGTCCCTTCAAAACGAGTACCCGACAACACAGGAAAATTGGGAAAGCTCCCCTCTTCTATACTCCAGAATCTTCTCCTCCCGACCTGGGCAAGCATGCGCCGGCTGCATATCCGCCACCGTGCCTCCAAGCACGAAGAAGAATGTCCTGTCGTCCCTCCGGGCTCTCTGTTGGGATCTGCCAATAGTCCTGTACGCCAGGAGCGCCGCCCTTCCTGGGGTCGCATCATGTCTTGCCGTCGCTCGGACGTCCATTTCCCGTGAATTGCTCGGTTTCGTGCGTGGTTTTTGTTGCTCGATGGTCCAGGATGGTCCTCGATGTTTTTCGCCGAGAAAAAATGCACACGTCCGAGCGATGCCAAGATGTGCACCCGCTACTCCTCCTTGCATTCGCAGAACGTTGCTCTCGGCCTCGGAAACCAACGTTCCTTGCGGTGTTCTGGCCGCGCGAGGCCAAAAGCAGCACAAGGGCGCTCCGCCAAGGCGGGCCCCAGACCTCCCACCAGGAATTCTGCATACTCCCCGAGCCCCCCATTCGCGAAGCAGCAGGCGCCTAACGCGCGCCGAGAATACAGTTGAATTGGGTGCGCATGGTTCGAGGCCACATTTTTCATCTTCAAGGGCCCAGAACTCAAGGACCCCGAAGAGGCCCTCGAACAGTCCCTCCGAGAAGCCCCTGTATGCATGCCAAGAGACTCTTATACGCATCCAAGCAACCTCTAGCCCACAGCCCAAGCATGGTGTTGGGATGAGCTTCCTCTGTCTCTCTCTCCCTTTCTCTCCCTCTCTCGGTCCACTTATCATGATTACTGTGCCGTAGCATCCCTTTCCTGGTTCTCGTCGTCTCTTTCTCTCTTTCTCTCTCTCTCTCTCTCTCTCTCTATGTGTCTCTGTTTCTCTCTCTCTCTCTCGTTCTTTCTCTCTCCGTCAAATTTTGATTGTGATATGTTTATCTCTCTCTCGCTCTCTTTCTCCGTCGTGTTCTCTCTCTCTCTCTCTCTCCCCCTCTCTCTCTCCGTCAGTCTTTCTATCGCACTCTCTCTCTCTCTCTCTCTCTCCCTTCTACACGCACTCTCTCCATATGTACACACATATGGATGTGTTCAAGAATCACTCGCGCTATGCGCGCTTAGATTCTAGTCACGGCCAGGCCATGGCGGCTGTGCTGGCTATGCAGTGCAGGCTGGGTGGTGCAAACTTGATGGTGCACAACGTGTTGCGCACGTTACGTAGTATAAGGTGAATGCTGAGGGTATGCTGTGCAAGCACTGTGGTGCATGCTATTCTGTGTTGTAGAAAGGGGCAAACTCGGTGCACGCACAGTGTGGCGCAAGCGGTATGGAAGAGTGCAGCCATCAGGACCTTCGGTGGATGCCCCTACGAGGCCATGAAACGCAACCAAGGGTGGGGGAGACGCATGCGAGTGCAATCACCGAGGCTTTCCGTGGAGCTCCCGATGGGGACACGAAGCGCTGCAATGGGCGGGGAGGCGCATGCAAGTGCAGCCTCTGGGGCCTTTGGTCGAGCTCCATAAGGGGCCACGGAGCGTTGTAATGGGCGGGAAGACGCATGCATGTGCAGCCACTGGGGCCGTCGGTGGAGTTCCTCTTGGGCCACGAGACGCTGTACTGGGCGGGGGAGACGCATGCGAGTACAGCCATCGTGGCCTTCGGTGGAGCTCCCTATGGGGCCACGAAGCGCTGTAATGGGCGAGGGACACGCATGCGCGTGCAGCCACTGGGTCTTCGGTGGAGCCCCCTCTGGGGCCACGAAACGATGTACTGGGCGGGGGAGACGCATGCGAAAGAAGCCATTGGGACCTTCGGCGAAGATCCTTATGGGGCCACGGAACGCTATACCGTGAGAGGGAGACGCGTGCAAGTGCATCCACTGGGCCTTCGGGGACCACGAGACGCTGTACTGGGCGGGGGAGACGCATGTGAGTGAAGCCACTGGAGCCTTCGGTGGAACTCCCTATGGGGCTACGAAGCGGTGTGCTTGGTGGGGGAGACACATACTGATGGGGTAGACGTAAGGAGGGGGAGGCAAGGGTGGGACAGAGGAGAGGAGGAGGAGACGCGAGGCGCTGTCCCTCCAAAATGATAACCCAATCCTACAGGACGGTTGGGAATTAGCCGGGCGAAGGCCCCAACCATGTGCTCGCGGAAGTGGGCATCTTCTTCGGTGGAGCTCCCTGTGGACCACGAAACGTTGTACTGGGTGGGGGGATGCGTGCGAACTTTGCGACTGGGGCCTTCGATGGATCTCCCTATGGGCCACCAAACGCCGTACTGGGTGGGGGAGACGCATGTGGACTGTACAACTGGGACCTTCGGTGGAGCTCTTTTATGGGCTAAGAAACGCGCTGTGCTGGGCGGGGGAGACGCATGCGGACGGTACATACCATTGGGGCCTTCGGCGGAGCTCCCTATGGGGCCACGAAGCGCTGTACTGGGTAGGGGGGCGCATGTGGGAAGCGCCCATGAGACCTTCGGTTGAGCTCCCGATAGAGCCACGAATCGCTGTACTGGTTGGGGGAAACGCGTGCGGACGGTGCCACTGGCGCCGCCGGTGGAGCTCCCTATGTCGGGGATGGACAGACCTCCCTTTAGTAAAACGTGGTTTAGTGAAAACGACCTGAGGCCCAAACCTAGCGGGCGGAGGCCTGGAAGATAACGACCACGGCGCCCTCTCGAGAACCGAAAACGGACCATTCACTGATCGACGTGTCACTGTTGGGGGTGCTGTCCACCCCCGACTATGGGGCCACGGAGCGCTGCACTGGGTAGGAGGGGGCGCGTGCGCGGCAGCACCTGGGCCGTCCCCGGAGCCCCACGGCACGCGCGAGGAGAGTGGGCCAAAGCGGGGGGGTGAGGGCAGACGCAGGGAGGGGAGAGGCGGGAGGGAGGGGAAAGGAGGAAGGAAGGAAGGAAGGAACTCGGGGCGCCGTCTCTCGAAAACGACGGCCCATCACCACGGGAGGGTCGCTGGGACGACAGAACAAGCCAGGGTTAAGTCGGGCCTGTCCCCCTACAGGGGGATCTTCGGCGAGAAATACAAGATACCCCCCAAAAAAATCAAAAAATAATCCAAACATAATCTGGGGACTATGTTTTGAATATGTCTTGTGGCATTTCTAATGCATTTTTATTGTTTTTTTTGTTGTTCGTCGGAAATCTCCTGTGTTGGAGGCCTGGAACTTGACACCAACACCAGCACAGGGGGGGTGCCTCCACATGGGAAAGATGATCCTATATTTCGGTGTTGGTGGTAATATTTCAGTCGCCTTTGACACCAGAATATTACTACCATCACCGAGATCGGGACCCTTTGTGGAGGCACACCGCCGATTCTGGTGTTGGTGTCAACCTCTAGGCCTGCGACTGTAGGGCGACTTTTTGGGGTATTGGTTAATCTTTTTGTTTGTTTTGCTATTTTTTGAATATGTTTCGACCATTTGGGGGTATTTGTTGAATCTGTTTTGACCTGTTTGGGGACTTTTTCCAATTTTCCGTCGAAAAACCCCCTGTAGGGGGACACGCCCGACTTCGAAGCCAGGGCGGCGGGGCACGGCGGCGGGCCCGAGCGGAGGCCGCCAGCCAAAGCCCCCCGCGCGCGGCGGGCGCGCGGCGCCCCGCGGCCGCGCGCCGTCCTCCCGCGGCGCGGCGTCCGGCCCGCGGGGGGTCGGCGAGCGCCTCCCCTCTGCGGGAGGGGGGGCGGAGCGGGGCGGGCCGCGGAGCGGAGGGGAACGAGCGGGGGGGGGGGGGGGCCCGCTGCCGCGGCCCCAGGTGAAGCTCGAGCACCTGCCCAGGAGGGGCCCCGGGCCCCAGGAGGCGTCGGGGGGGGGGGGCAAGGGTTGCATCTCCGCCCCCTGGAACGAGGCTCGTGTGAGGGTTATCGAGGCTTTACATGATCTGTGATTCTCATCATCCTCATCATCCGCATCTAAAGGGACTTGTTTGTAATCCGCCACAAAGGTAATCCTTTTGCAATGCTCGGCGGGTGGGGGGGGCGATGTTGGGCGGAGCCGGGCCCAGGGGCAGGGCGAGGGGGGGGGGCGGAGGGCGGAGGAACGCACGCATCCGAGAAGGGTTCGACCCAATTCACATGCACAGACAAAAAGTTGGAGCTAGGCCAGGAGGGAAAGAACATCCTCCTCCTCCGCCCCATCCTGGGCCTTCCGCTCCTCAGCCTGCCTCCCCAGGGCCTGTGCAGCCGCGTCCGATAGGCCGTACAACGCCAGGACGCGCTGCCAGTCGGCGGCGGGCGGGGTTAGCCGCCCCTCGCGCGCGGCCGACTTGGTGAACTCCGCGATTTTCGCGGGCCCCGGAAGGCCCTGGGCCCAGGCAGAGAAAAAGGGAAGCCACTCGGCCCTTACCTCGGGGGCTGGGGCTCCCACGTGTGCCAAAACAAACCCCTTTGGATTTCTATGGCCAGGATACTGACCAGCTCGAAACTTATTAAGATAGAAGCCGCGCCCTCCGCCAGCGACAGGGCGACACGAAGAAAGAAGATTGCCACGTTTCGAGCTGGTGTGCGCCATGCTGCCGCACCTTACGCACATGAGCAAACTATCATGAAAGGTCTCGCGATCGGCTCCATAGATGTCGGCCTGCTCCAGCAGGTGACCCATCTGCCTCCAGGCTCCTGGTGAGGCGCCGATCGGGGCCTCAACAGGGCCACAAGACGACGGAGGGAGAGCAGCATCGGCAGCAGCAGGCTCAGACCCCACCCCCGAGGAGGAAGGGATGGGGAAGCCCGGGATCGCATCAAGCATAACATAGTTGAGCCACTCGAGGCCTACATGACCTTGCTTAGCAAGATCCCTGCAATCGAACTGCTGCGACGCACAGAAGATGCCGAGACGGCGAGCGAATTCGGAGCAGCCTGACACACGGAGCCTGTCTTGGGCACTTACGCGATACTGCTCAGCTCCCTGTTTCGCGAGCCGGCCTGCTTCTGAATTTCCGAACCTTTGAGGGTCCGTGATCTTGCCCTCTCTCACGTCCTTCATCGACGTGTGGGCGGGAATCTTAAACACTGTCAGACCTTCTAAACGATCGCCGAGCTCGGCCCACCAATGTGTCCTGGCTGACTTCGCACCGGCGGCTCCCGAGGGATCTCGGAGGCAGCCGACCGTGCCGGCACAATCGATGTACAAGGAGACCTGGGGTCCGAGGACCGCTCGACGAGACAACATGAGCACTGCGAAATCCTCTCCGTCGCGTGCCAGCTGATCTGGCGCCTCGGCCAAGGGTACTACGCCGAAGAGCGCCGCCAAGGTTCGGCCTTCTCTGTCCAGGACTACGACGGCCCATCCCGCCGCACGCAGGCCAGGCATGCTTCCCTCGAACCCCGACCCGTCCGTGAAAACATGGGCCCCCTCGGGAATGAACAAGTGTCCGTCCTGTGGCCATTGAAAGCGACGCGTGCGCGGGACCAGCGGGTCCCTCGGAGGCTTCCGAACGCATGACGCGGGGTCTGGGAGCATGCACCTGCTAAAAAGTTCCCGAGCCTCCCTGGACAGATGACCAAGATTGCGAGCAGCCTCCTCCACCACGGGATCCAGGTTCTCGCGGCGCCAGGCGGCGACAGCACAGCAATGGAAACGCCGATGGAAGAGATTCCCTACTGCTCCACCACACAGCTGACACTCTCTGCCAGATTCGGGACTATGGGCTGAGATACGGACCTGCGACCAATATGCATTCGCCAAGATGGCCGAAAGGACAGCCTTGTGCCCCTTGGTACAACAATCACTGTTTTTCCTAGCTAAAAGTTGACAGAAGGGGGCCAAATGGATAGGCCCACTCCACTCCTGGAAGTCATACTGCTTAGACTGCCCCTCCGGCTCGATAGCACGCCGCACGGCGCTACGCACGAGAAAGCAGAAACAACTCGGAGAGAAGCGCTCCACAGCCCAGGACCTGCCACGATCATCCACCAAGGAGAGAGTGTTAAAACCGAACTCCCAGCGGATCCTGGCCAGGAGCAAGAAGAGGGCAGCAACAGGTTGGCGGACCTGGCCCCACGGGCTAGCCTTGGCCAGGACCGCCTTGGCATCTCCCACACATGACTGCAGCACATCCTGTGTTATAGACTTGGCCCATAGAACTCCCACGAACTCTCGTACAGCCGCAACGAGAACCAACGCAAGCGGATCCCTCATCCAGAGCCGAGCAGAGGAAAGGAACCGGAAGCCCAAGAACGTCCCAGGGAGGAGCGGGCCCCAAGACCTCGACGCTTGGATCCGCAACTTATGGAGGCTCGTTGGGGGTATCCCTAAAATGTGGGACCCCCAAATGGCCTTCGCGAGGGGTCCTACACGGAAGACTCTGCTATGTTTTTCGCTCTGCCCTAAGTTGCGAAGAGCAGCTCCCGAGGCCGACGCGTCGGACAGCGGTTGTGCCTGCGTGCCCACTCGACGGACGCTGCCATCGTTCGAGTCCACGCCGAGGTCGCGGTGCGCGGAGACCAGCTTGTCGGCCCCGAGCGTCCATCTCGGATCCTGCAGCAGCTCGGGCAGCAGCTCGCGGTCCGAGAGCATAAAGCAAGTCTTGCCCCAATTGATTGGCAACTGCTTCGCCTCCAGCCCCGCAGTGACGATCGCAAAGCTGCCGATCGTCGCCGACATCGTGGTTGCTGGGCCTCCGATGGTGTGCGTGGTGAGGTCATCCACCACGTTCAGCGTTCGACATGGTCGTGACACGACCGCGATCCTCCGGAGAAGCGTCAACGTGAGTAGCTTGGCGACTCCTGTCGCCGCGCTGCTCCCGGCCACGATCGTGCCGCTCGGGTGGCTGAGGCGGCTGGCGCCGCCAGTCCATTTGGCTCTGCGCGGGGCCCTGTAGAGGCAGCGGAGAGCCTTCAGGAGTGCCCCGTCGAAGGCGAAGTGTTCTCCTGCCTGACGTAGCTCTTGGTGGCTAACGTACTCGTAGAACTTCCGAATATCGTAGAAGACAGTCGTGGCCGTGAGGCCACGCCTGCGCGCATGACAAGACAGCACGTTGTGAAGGTATGCGGCTGTATCACAACTGCTCGCGGCACCCTTACCCCAAAAGAAGTCTGCATCAACCGAAGCCTCCCACTTCTTGACATAAGTTCGTCTGACTCTGCTCCAGATTCTGGCCCAGAAGCAAAGAAGGCCGATCGGCCTGGTGCCCCCGTCGGCCTTGGGCAAGAACACACTCATGGTCACCCACATGTTCACGCAGGTTGGTCTCTTCTCCCATTCAGACAAGATCCCGGCCAGCCTCGAGACGAACGCACCGTCCAAGAAGGCGACCAGTCGCATGTGGAAATTGTCCCAGCCGAGCCCCGCACATGGTCCGAAGCTCTTGCAGGCGTCGATCACCTGCTGCTCACTGATGGGCCCCAAGGTCCAGGCGTAGTTCCAATCCTTGGGGTGCACCTCCCCCGTCCTCTTGGTGGAGATCCACAAGCTCTCCCACTCCTCCAGGACGGCTTCGATGGCAGCAGCCCCCGCTAGGCCGCGGGGCGGTGTCCCGGACTTCGGGCAGGCATCCTCGAGCCTCTTGGGCCTGCAGACGGCGTGTGCCAACTTGCCCGAGCCCTCGACCGCCGACTCACCGAAGTCCCTCCAAGCCTTGCTGCGAGCCTTGGAGTCCTGACGACGGCGCTCGCCCACCTCGTCAGTTAACACAGCGCGGAACCACGCAGCCAATTGACCTCCCCGCTGCGCGAGGTTGATCCACTTCTCAACTTGAGGCTCCCTGAGTAGCATAGAATCAGATACAGGCTGAGGCAGCGTCAAGTTCCGAAGCTGTTGTATGACTCGGTCCCGGTGCACTGCTCGAGCAGCCTTGGGCCCCGCAGGCGAAGATGTCGACGCGCAGAGACTGTCCCAGAGGCGAGGAGCTGAAAGCCAAGTCCTAGTGTCAGTCTCGTCATGGCGTTCGAGAATACCCTTGGAATGCTCGCTAAGGTTCTTCTTCCGCATAACAACTCCCTTGCAGCGTCCAAAGTAGAAGCGAGCATCCTTCTTGGGAATCTCGAACAGCTCCACAAGGTAGCGCTCGGCTGCAGAGAACCAGCAGGCCGCCTCTTGATCAATGTCATCAATAGGGCGATCCAGCGCCCACTCCCCACGAACAGTGACAGAGGGAAGGGGAGAAGGAGGTAGGTCCCCATCTGCTTGGCGTCGCGCCTTCGCGGCCTTTGCTCTGGCCTGAGCCTTGGCCTCCTGGTCTGCCAGGGGAGAAGCCCTCGGCGGCGACCCCACCCACGCGAACGGCTCGTCACGGATGCCCTTGATCTGAATCGAAACGTAGCAGTGTGGGAACACGGGCGCATCAGTACGAGCTTCCACTGTCATAGGGAAGGCGCCCAAGCACTGGGACCCGATAAAAATAGTCGTACTCATGGCCATTGCATGTAGGCGCACCCGGAGCATAAGCCGTAGCTGAGGCCAGCTCCAGCCAGCCCGTGCCCAAGACTTCCTCGGGCTCCCTGTTCCAATCACCCCCCAGAAGAAAAGGGAAACGCTGGGACCCCAGATGCGTTCCCATAAACTCCAGAATGTCAATGTTCTCGCCCTTGGGCCCGAGAGAGTCGACGCAATAAACAGAGCCAACGATCATCCAATAGTGGGGCCCGAGCGTGAGCAGGCGTAGGAGTACTCGATGCTGGAAGCGCTCGGGAATGGGGTCGAGGATCGCGACGCCGAGGCCGAACGCCGAGACCAGTCCCACTCCTGCAGAAAGGGCCCGAGCGGCCTCACCAGTGCGCACTGACGATCCCAACGCCAATCGTCTGGAACAAGTACGGACCCATTGGTGTGCTCCCGGCTCGTTAGAGTAAGCCAGCTGCGTCTCCTGGATACACAAGGCGTGCGGCATGCCAACAGCCTTCTCGATCCATGGCATGGTCGCTCGCGCTCGCGGCCAAGTGTTGGCATTCAAAGTGCCTACAGTGAACACATACTTGTCCTCATCATGGCATACAGGAAGGGCCTCTGACAAGGACAGCGCGACGGCTTGAGATCCAGAAGAAGGCGTCGTCGCCGGTGCCGGGCCTGAGGGTGCCATCATCGATGGAATAGTCCCCGAACCCGCTGCACAAGTACTGATTGCCTTTGCCACAGGCTGCCGACCAAGAGCGTGGAATGCCCGAGGCGCACGCTGCTCTACTACCGTCGTGTGGCCGGCCGGGTTAACGTCACCGCATCTGGCGCTAAACCAGCTGCTGGGGTGGCTGTAGCTGCTCACGGAGCTGGGCGTCCTGAAGCAGCCGCTCTCGAATGTTGACCGTAGGAGGCTCTGGGCCAGCAGCAGCGCCAGCCCCAGAAGCCTCACCACCCGTGAGGTCGACCTGCGCTGGCGGGGCCTTGCGGCCGCAGCCGGGGCGGCCGGCCCACCGGTGCCACCTCCAGGCGCCGCTTCCGGGCCCTCAGCCTCGCCGACCCTCCTCTTCTTGCCCTCCAGGCGGGACAAGTGCTTGCTGTGCGCCTCCATGGCCTGCTTCGCCGCGTCCACCGCGCCTTGGAACATGCGCGACAGAGCCTGCTGGATCTCCGCCGCCGCTGCATCCTTGCGCGTGCGCAGCTCTTCACGATCTGACTCCTCGAGCTCGTAGGCTGCTGCCACCTCCGACGTGCCCAAGAAGTCGTCGATGCTGAATACCTTGGTGAGGTCAACCTTACCCTCGACGAGCTGGCGGATGCTGACAGCAGGCGCCTGCTGGGGAGGTGGCGGGGCGTTCTGGGCCTGAATGGCGTCCAGCGCCGAGCGAGCCACCTTGTCGGCCTCCTCGAGCTCCTTGGCCAGCGAGGCGATGTGCTCGACGAGGCGAGCCGAACTCGCTCTCCAGCGCTGCAGCTTCGCGTACTGCACCTCGAGCTTCTCCTCCAAGGCCTTCTGCTCCTGCTCGGCCTTCTGCCATTTCTCGCGCAGCGAGGGCTCGGCTGGCGGCTGCGGCGCGCGGTCCGCCAGGAGCTGGTAGCGGCGCGCCCCCTCCTCGTCTCCTGCAGCCTTGGCCAGGGCCGCCAGCTGCTTGGCCTGCTCTGCCTTGATCTGCGGCAGAGGTCCAGGCGGGAGGGCAGCCAACTGGCCGTCTCGGCCCTTGCCAGGCGGAGCCGTGCCACCGGAGGCCGCCTTGCCTCCGCCCCCTTTGCCTCCGCCCTTTCCGCCCTTGAGCCCTTTCGCCCCAGTAGCCTTGCCACCATTGGGGGTGGACAGACCTCCCTTTAGTAAACCTCGCTTTTAGTGAAAACGGCCTAGGAATGACACCGACGGACCTGGACCCGCAAAATAACGGCCGCGACGCCCTCTCGCGAGCCGAAAACGGCCAATTCACTAATCGACGTGTCAGGGTAGGAGGTCTATCAACCTCCGAGCTGAAGGGGCTGACTCAGTCGGCCCGTGTCGTCAGGATGCACAATGTAAGGATGCCAGGGCCCTGGATATGGGAACAAGAAGTTGTATAAACATAGAAACTCGGAGGTCCGCGCGGATTTCTCGGATCGGCGCTGGGGCCCCCTGGCGGCGCCTCCGGCGCCGCCCCTGGCGCGCCTCGCGCGCCAAGGAGGGGGGTCCAGCGCCGAACCGAGAAATCCGTGCGGACCTCCGAGTTTTTGTGTTTATGTCAGTTCTTGTTCCCCTAAGGATGCACGATGTAAGGATGCCAGGGCTTTGGGAAGGCTGTTTCGAAGCTTTGCGGGCGGGGCGCGGGCAACGGAAGTGGCCAAGGATGGACCGAGGAGGCGAGGATGCAAGGGTCCCCTTGGAAAGGTTGCCCCTTCTTACTGTGCGGGCGGTTTGACTGTAGGGATCATGGAGGGAGCGGGGAGGAGGGAGGAAACAAACGGCCCCTGCAGACGGACTTGCCAACCCATGGGGGGTCCAGGCGAAAGAGGAGCACGGTAGCACACACACACAAGTTTCTGAGACTTCTGTGAGTTGGCGACTAACCACCGGGCAATCTACAAACTGACGGACCCATGGATTGGACAAGGAAGGGTGAGCCGTTCAAACGCTGATCAGGTTCCGCGCAACGTCATGAGGACGACGACCGCTCCGTCCTCCTACTCCTCCTCCTCCTCCTCATCCTCCTACTCCTCCTCCTCCTCCTCCTCCTCCTCCTCCTCCTCCTCCTCCAGCCACCCTCTCGCGACTCGCCCGCACCCCGCGAGGGCGACGGCGACGGACGAAAGGGCCACGATGGCGACGGCACGCCGCGAAGGCAGCGTCCGATGTGACTCCGCTCGGAAACTGCCCCTGGGCTCGGGTCGGGCCTGTCCCCCTACAGGTCGATCTTGGACGAAACATTAAACATACCCCAAGCATGCGCAAACAAAAATGCTCAACAATGGTAAAAACAAGTAGTCCCCATACTGTTTTAGGTGTTTTTTTTGACTATTCTTGAACAATCCTCCTGTAGAGGGACAGGCCCGACTTAACCCTGGGCTGAGGACCTCTCCCAGGCTCCATGCCAACGACCCCTGCGGGCCGCGCCCGGGCGTGCCCGCGGGAGACTCCCCACTGAGCGCCAGAGAACGTCCGAGACAGAGACGCCGACGTCGACACCGCCGTCGCCGCTGCTGGCGGCGCCATCGCACGCTGACGACGATCGTGCGCTGGGCCCTTCGGCTGCACGCAAGAGTGACCCTGGGTAAGAGTGACCTTTGGCCGCGGGGGGGCCCAACGACACAAACGCGCAAGACGCTACGATCGCATCGCGTTCGGCGATCGGGGGACCCCGACGGAGCCTGCCCATCCCCCCCCCCTCCTCCTCCTCCTCCTCCTGCTCCTCCTCCTCCTCCTCCTCCTCCTCCTCCTCGTCTCCTCCTCCTCCTCCTCCTCCTCCTCCTCCATCGGGCCCGCACCAGAGGTCACTCCGGCGACAGGTCCCTCTCACGCCAAGCCGAGCCCTCCCCTTGGGGTGCCTGCTGGCCGCAGCCGGCGTCGCCGACGTTGGCCGGCCCCCGTGGTGCGGCCAGCCTGGGGGGCCGGGAGGAGGCCAGCCAGACGAGATGGAGCCGTCTGAAGTACACAGGGAATCCTCCCCTCTCCCAGCAACCCCTCTTGGCAGATGAGAGACGACATATGATGACATACCCACTCGTTTGGGGCGTCTGTCCCCCGACCCTCTCCGTGTAACCAGGAGACGCAGCACCACGAGCACGAGCGCGACGAGGCCAGGGGGTCCTCCTAATGGTGTGATTCCCCTACCCCGCTCGTGTCTGCGTCTCGGGGAGGCATCGTTAACCTCCTCTCTGCAGGTAGCCCGCCCTATGGTGGCGGTGATCATGCTGCTTCTCATTCCTCCGACTCCCCCTCCTCCTGATTCTCCTCCTCATCCCTCCCCTCATCCCGCTTCCCCTCCCTGTCCACTTCCTCATTACCCTCCTCGTGATTCGGGTGTGCGGTGTGACTGGCGCAACGGATAACGCACGGGGACACAGAGGACTAACTCGTCGATCGGGTGTGCGGATTGTGTCTGGCGCAGTGTACTACGCAGAAGAACACGTGGTACGAGTTTGTATGAACTCCCAAACATCCGCTGGTGTTAGGTCCTCGCGCTGATTCAGCAGCGCCCCGCGTCACTCCTCCTTCCCACTCCCTCCCTCCTCTCCCACTCCCATGTCGGCACACGCTCCCACGCTTCGTGGCTCCTTCGAGAGCTCCACCAAAGGCCCTAGTCGGCAAATTTCGCGTGCGTTCCCCCCGGTCGTTTCGGCACATCCCTCATGCGCTTCGTGGCCCCATGAGCAGCTCCACGGAAGGCCCAGGTGGCAAAGTTCGCATGCGCTCGCGCCGCCCACTTCGACACGCTCTTTCCCACGTGTTGTGGCTCTAGAAGGAGCTCCACCGACGGCTCCAGTGACGAAGTTTGCAAACGTTCCCGCCGCCCGTGCCAGCACACCCCTCACATGTTTCGTGGCGTTCCGCCGAGGACCCCAGCGGCAGAGTTCGCATCCATTCCCGCCGCCCATTTCGGCGCACACCCCAAACTTGCCGAGGCCACAAAGGGAGTCGCACTGAACGCTCCCGTGGCAAGGTTCGCAGGCGCCCCCGCCGATACTTTCGGCACACCTCTTACCTGCGTCGTGACTACATGGGGAGCTCCACCCGAAGTCCCCGTGGCAAACATCGCATGAGCTCCCGCGGCCCCTGTTAGACACAACCTTCACACGTCTGGTTACTCCGTATGGAGCTCCACCGAGGGCCCTTGTGAGGAAAAGTGCGCATGCGTCTCCGCCGCCCATTTCGGCACGCCCCTCGCACGGATCGTGGCCTCAAAGGGAGTTCCACCGAGGGCCCCGGCAGCAACAATTCGCATGCGCTCCCGCCGCCCGCCCGTTTCGGCGCACCTCTCAGCCGTCTCGTGGCCTCACACGGAGCTCCACCGAAGGCCGCAGTGGCAAAGTTCGCAAGCGCTCCCGCCGCTCACTTCGGCGCACCACTCATGCGTCCTGTGACCCCAGAGGGTGCTCCACGGAATGCGCCTGTGGCAAGGCTCGCATACGTCCCCCGCCCATTTCCGCACATCCCACACGTGCGTCGTGGTCCCACACGGAGCTTCACCGACGCAGGGTTCGCATGCACCCCCCCCGCCCATGTCGGCGCACCCCTTAAACGTGTCGTGGCCACACAGGGAGCGTCCCCCTTCCATGATCCCATCTGCCCGACGGTACGCACACTCGCATATGGTTGGCTCCGTCGCCAGGATCATACAAAACATAGGCAGATGGAACCCAGCCCTTGGTTCGGGCGTGCTGGGTGTCTGGCAACATCTGACACAACCTGCGACGCAAGGGGGCAAAACAACCATCTCATGATTCCGTGGCTTGCGCGCCTGTTGCAAAATAAAAGGCGCAACCTGCTGCTCAAGCTGTGCAGTTTCGTTACCGCCTCCTAGACTACGCTGTTGAAAATCGGTTGGCGGGGTGGGATGTTTTTTCAAGGGGTGGGGGGAGGGCAAGATGCAGGGGATGGGTGGAATAGAGGAAGGGGGCACTGGCGGGAAAGAGCGGGGGGATGGGACGCCGTCAGTAAAGCAGGGGCACGGACTGCATCGAGAGGAAAGGGGGGCGAGAGGGAGGGGGAACAGAGCAGAACTGGATTGTGGAAGGGATGGGGCGAGTCGAGGGGGGAGCGACGGGACGCCCCTTACTCCCCGTCCTTCCTCGTTGACGTCGTTATCATACCAGCGTCGTCACCATCTCACAAAACGCCTGAATTGCTTGACGCGGGGATCACCATATTTGCATCTCATGGATTGGCACGTCTCGCGGTGCGCGTGTGGCCGTGAGCGTCCAGGTATGACAGCGATTCCGAGTGGACGACGAGTACGACGACGACGACGGCGGCGGCGACGACGACGAGTACGACGACGACGAATACGACGACGACGACGACGACGACGACGACGACGACGGCGGCGGTGACGATGGCGACAACTGAATGACAGACGGGCCGTGAGAAGGCCCCCTCCCCTCTCCTGCCTCTTACTACAAACGACCCGTATGAGTAAGTTGGGCCTGTCCACCTACAGGGGGATTTTGGACGAGAAATAAAAATAGTCAAAACATACCCTGGTGTGATTAGTCAATACGACATGTAGTCAATACGACATGATACCATAAGAATAGTCAATACGACATAGTCAAATCTTCTTTACTATTTTTGAATATTCCTCCTGTAGAGGGACAGGCCCGACTTATTAGAAGGATGCGCGATTTTAGGATGCAAGGGCCTTGGGCGCCCATTTCGAAGCTGTTCGAGCGGGGCGCGGCCAGCGAGAGTGGCCGAGGGTGCAAGGGAAACCCTAGGAAAGGGTGCCCATCCTCACTATGCGGTCTGACTGCACTCGTCGTGCCCACTTTCTTGGCTTGCGGCGGGCCCTGAATCGACAGGACTCGGAGGTGCAAACCGAGCGCCTCGCTGGATGCTTCCATCGAGTTTGCTGCAAATGGCGCTGAGGCGAGCGCTTTGTGGGCCCCGGAAACGGCAGGGCCGATTTTCACCGTTTCCAGAAAAATGTCCCTTGACAATGGAAACGGCAAAAAAAGCGACCGGAAACGGCAACAAAAACGGCTCCAGGATTGGAGCCGGAGCCGGAACCGGTCAAAACACGGCGACGGCACCGGTAAAGAAACGGCGCCGGAACCGGCGACAAAAAACGGCAGAACGGAACCGGTAACAAAATTGCCCTGTCGTTTCCAGGGCCCACTAAGGTCTCGAGCGAGTCGCTGGTTTTTTGGCATCGGCGCTCCGCCTGTCTGGCGGCTGGGACGCCGCTGCTCTCGGGCAATGGTGCGAGGATGTCTCGAGCAGGGCGCTCACCGCCCTTAGTGGGCCCCGGAAACGACAGGGCCGTTTTTTTACCGGTTCCGTTTTGCCGTCTTTGTTACCGGTTCCGACGCCGTTTTTTTACTGGTTCCGTCGCCGTTTTTTGACCGGTTCGGCTCCGGTTCCAATCCTGGAGCCGTTTTTGGGCCGTTTCCAGTCGCCGTTTTTGTTTTTCCGTTTTCATTTTCAAGCGACATTTTTCTGGAAACGGTGAAAAAACGGCCCTGCCGTTCCAGGGGCCCACAAAGCTCGAGACCTCCTCACAGTCTGCTCTGAAGACACTGAGGCCCAGTCCACCACATAGGCAGACCGCCCGAGGCAGCGGATACCGCGCCCGCGACATCGCGATGAGGACGGGGCTCTGGCAACGCAGAGGTCCAATCGTTCGAGGCATCGCCGCAATCTGAGCGCGAACGGGCAAAAGCCCCGGCCCCGTGGCGGCCCCTCCTTGGAGTGCTCGAGTGCCACGCCTGCTACATCGCAACGCGCATTGGGCTTCGAAGCGAGAGAAGTCAAGCTCACCAAGCAGGCAAACCGCCTGATACATCCAAGAAGTCTGAGCGCGAACGGGCAAACGTCCCCACCTCGTGGCGGGCCTTCACTGGGGTGCTAGAATGCCACGCCTACTACACAGCGATGGGATGGGATATGATTGTATGAATCATGTGTGTGAGCCTAAACATTACTTGGCTGAGTACGGGTGGTCTGAATGAGAGTGGTGCGTGTGTGTGTGTGTGCGTGTGCATGAACAAGTCTGACTATGTGCGAGTCTGAATACGTTGCACCCCACAGGGGCGGATAGGAGTAAGGGGGCGGGCGCGGGGTGGATCGCGGGTGGGTCGCAGGTGGGTTGCGTGGTGGGTCGCAGGGCGGGTCGCGTGGATGGTCGTGGGTGGGTCGCGGGCGGGTCGCGGGCGAGGACGACGACATCAACAAACATAATTTTAAGACGGTTCGCTCTTGTATGCTCGCTTTTCATTCAACACGTGTACCCATCGTCTGCGATCGTACCCGCTCTGTCTGCTCGCTTCTCACTCCTACCCGCTCTCTTCCTCTTCGATCGTGCCTCCGTTGGGGGGCATGCCTTCTCCTCCTGCCGCGCGCAGTTGACGCAGCTGCTAAGACAGGAAAGGAAGGAGGGCCGAGGCAAGGGGAAGGGAGAAGGATTGAGCACGAGAGATCAGCAGGAAGGTTACGGCAGGTTCGTGTCGTGCCGACCCCAGCGTTGGTTTTTGACACCGCGGGGATGAACGATCGGCCGTCTCCGCAACGTCCAAATGTTCAACATCGAACGATTCTGGGTCGCCCGCGGCGTTCAAAGTTGAACGCCGCTGGCGGGGTCGCCGCCGGTCGACACGACGCGAACCTACCGTAAAGAAGGAGTGCAAGCGGCAGAACTGGACGGGCGGATCGGGCGGCCGGACCCTACCCGGGCAGGTCCGGCGGGCGGGCCCAGGCCGCCGGGTCGAGCGGGCGGGGTCGCGGAAGCGCCCATCCAACGAGTAACACGACTCGCAGGGAAGTCTCTGTCGATGGCGCGACTCCCATTGAGGGATGAAAAAACGACCCTACCCTGGGTTACAAGTGCGCGGTCTGTAAGCCTCCTGGGAACCCCCAAAGCCCAGAGCCGCCAGGACGCGGCACATCACGCAGGGTTTACCCTGTCAGCCCGCAGGAGTTTCAGCGCCCAGCGCCTCGTAAACCAGGGTAGGGGCGTTTTTTCTGCCCTTGATCCCAGGTAAAGAGCGCGACTCCTGAGAGTCGAAGGGGCACGGCGCCTGCGTTAAATTGTGGGGACGCCCTCTCTCCATCGCTCGGACGTCCATTTCCTGTGTTTTCGGTGTAGTGCCTGTTTTTTTCGCGAAATGATCAAGGATGCTCCTCGATGGCCCTCGCCGAGGAAGAAAAGCACACGTCCGAGCGATGCCAAGCCCTGCGCGAACGCGCGAATTTGAAATACACTGTGAAGACGTACCAGGACCGCGCAGGCCAACAGCACAGTCTGAGGACCACAACGCTGAAGGGGCCCTAGGACACACACACACACATAAATACACACACATAAAAACATTCCCCATATCTTCCCATATTTTCTGGGCTTCTGTCTTCCCCCCCACTTCCCATAGTTTCCCATATTGTCCTGGGAATCGACGATTAATTGTGTCTGTGTGTTTTTTCCCCTCCTGAAGCGCTCCCTGATAAAGAAACCAGGTGCGAGCCGCAAAAAACACATGCTTACCGGGCAGGGGGATCAATCATAATGAGCAACAATCCGCACCGCGGGACCCCCCTCCAGCCACGCGCCCGGGAACAGTGAATGCCCGTTCGGCCCACTCGCTCTGATGAGCGGGCCTGAGTGAAGGTGAACCTGAATATCAGTGAATCTGGGCGTGAATGAGTCTCGAACCTGAGTGTGAATGTATCTGGCTGTAGGTGAGTCGGAGTGCGGTGAGTGTGAAGAGTTAGCCTGAGCATGAGTTGTGTCTGAATGAGGACGGGGAGAAGGAAGGAATGATGAGTTGGAGGCGTATGGTAAATTCGCCGGCCCAACGAGCCAGAGGCGTGCTAAGATCTCCGGTAACTGGTTAAGAATTCTCTAGTTCGCGCGCGCGGGGCGGCCCCTGGGGGTCCCCGGACGAAAAGTACCCCGGCAAGGTCCTGAGAGAGTCTCGGGAGGAGTCCCCCAGAGCGCTCCAGGAGCGCTCCATGAGCGCACCAACAGGGCTCCGAGAAATCCCCGAGAGCCCCAAGAAAGGCCAAGAGGCCCCCAAGAGGCCCCCAAAATGGTACACGAGGGGTCCGACATGCCACAAGATCGCTCCAAGACGCCCAAGATAGCCCCCAGACGCCCCAAGAGGCCTCCCAGAGCACTCCCAAGAGGGCCCCCGGAGGCAAAATTCATTGTTTTTCCTTAGGTTTTTGAGAGATTTTGGAGCTTCCACCTTTTCGGTTCCCGACGCCCCAAGACGGCCCCAGAGGCCCCCAAGATCGCCCCAAGAGGGCCCAAGAGGCCCCCAAGAGGGCCCCAAGATGGCCCAAGAGGGCTCGAAGACGGCCCAAGAAGCCTCCAAGACGGTCCAAGAGGGCCCCAAGAACACCCCCAAAGGGGCCCCAGAGAGGGAACACGAAACAAAATTTCGCGCCCTCGGCCCTAAGAAGCCCCTACGAGGCCCCAAGAGGCCCCTAAGAGGCCCCAAGAGGCCCCCACGAGGCCCTCAGGAGGCCCCCAAGAGTCCCCCAAGCGGCCCCAGGAGGCCCCCCAAATGCCCCCCCGAGCGCCCCAGGAGTCCCCCAAGCGGCCCCAGGAACCCCCAAAGCGCCGCATTGACACCAGGCCCTCGGGCAAACGGCAGACATGAGACCGTATGGGCCGGCGGAATGAGCGAAGCGATTCAATAAAACAATACCATCTCAGGAAATGGGGAACAAGCAAACGGCCCCCTTGAGGTGCTGAACCCACTGGGTGTGAGTGAGTCTGTGTTAGTGTGGGTCTGAGAGCGAGTGAGCCTGAGAGCGAATGAATCGGACAGGGAGTGAGCGTGAATGTGAGTGAGTCTGAATGTGCGAGTCTGAGTGTGAGCGACGCAGGGTGTGAGTGAGTCTTGATACGACTAAGTCTGAGTGCGAGTGAATATGAGCGCGATTGACTCTTGGTGTGAGGTAGCTTGTGTGAGTGAGTCTCAGGAAAGGTGAATCTGAGTAGAGTGAGTCTGAGTGTGAGCAAGTCTCAGTATGAGTAAGTCTGAACATGATTGAGCCTGAGAGTGAAAGCGTCTGCGTCGGACTGAGTCTGAATGAAGAATAACAAATAAAGGAAGAGAGGCATGAGATAAGAGAGATTGTAAGAAAGGAGCCGGAGACGCCGTAATGACAGCACGAGGCCCATTTCAGCATGTGGGGAACACTCGGCAGCCACCCACGCAGCCCTCCATCGCATCTCTCTGCGATATTTCTCGAGCCAGATCGATACGCGCGCGCCTCTCCCCCAGGACCCCAAGACGACCGAGAACGCTTGGCACGGACAATCTGCATGACGCCTGGGCCTCATGGATCGGGCGGCCCCTCTCTAAGGTCTTTCGGGGGCCTCGCCCGAAGAATTTCCCGACGGTCTGATGCAGTGTCAGCCCAGCAACTTTTCCGAGACCACGGCCTCTGGGGCTCGTTACTGGGCCGACCAACAGAAAATGAACGTGTGAACTTCAGTCGGGCCGCCAGAAAAAGGAACGCAAAATCAGAAACCAAGCCCCTTCTGGGCCCCCAAAGCGCCTTCGATCACGAGGAGGGAGGGCTAGAGAAACAACCACGGAAGGACCGAAGGAACATCCGGCCCCTTCCGAACCCAAACTGCTCCTCAATTTCAGCGTCTTGACTGGAACTGCTCCCCCGGGAAAGGGGGCCGGGACCTGATGGGGGTCGCGCATTAATACACACACATACACACACAACATATCCGTCTGTGAAGGCGAGGCGAGCCCAGAATCGAATCAAGAAATCGGATCGACAATCAAAATGAATCGGATCCGCAGAAATCGGCAGCCGAGTCGGGAGAAGTCGAGTCGGCGGCAATCGGAAGGCTGGCAAACCTCCATTGAGAAGCTGGAATCCGCACCGGAAACTGAGTCGAAGCGGACACTGGAACCGGAATCCATCTCGGAACCGAATCGAACATCAAATCGCAGGAACCGGAACGAGCCCTGGAGGGCCTCCCGAAGGAGGGCGCCAGGGCCTCACAGGGCGCGCCCCCTGCTGGCCATCGCCCGGACGTGCCTTCCCTGTGTTTTTTGTTCGGCTTCGTGCGCGGCTTCTTCGCGGGATGCTCCAGGATGCTCCTCGAGGCTCCCCGCCGAGACAACATGCACACGTCCGAGCGATGCCAAGCCCTGCCGAGCGCCCACGGATCGCCCGCCGCGCCCGCCGCGCGCCCGCCGCGCGCGCCCGCCGCGCGCGCCCGCCGCGCGCGCCCGCGGCCCGCGGCCCGCGCCCGCCGCGCCCGCGGCGCCCCCCGCTGCTCACGCCGGCGGCCGGGGCAGGCGCGCCGCGCCCGGGTCCTGTGCCCGGCGGGCGCCCCCTCCCAGACGGGGGGGCCGCGCGGCTCGAGCATGAAGTCGGGCATGCCCCCCAGACAGAGGGGATTTTGGATGAAAAATGAAAAAATCCCCCCGAAATGCTCCAAGATGGTCAAGGATAGTCACAGAGTCGTCCGCCGACTATTTTTTCACAATTTTTGACTGTTCCTCGTGTAGAGGGACAGGCCACACTTAAATCGAGCACCAGGTCTCGGCCACCTCGGGGCCAAACACACAGAGACACTCCCCTCGTTGCCTCCCGTTGTCACTTGCGCAGGTGATGCTGCTGCTCCAGGCGGTCTACTATACGAAACCACTGCTCACGCCAGAGCTCTACGATGGGGGGGCGACGGGGGGGCGGCGCAGGAGCGATGGAGGCATACCACGCCTCTCCACGCCAAATTATTGATCCATGCCCTGCCACCCCTATAGCGGACAGTGGGGGGCAGCAACAAGAGGTACAGCAGGAGCTCGACCACAAGAAACCGGCCGCAAGAGACCCAACCCTGAGCCCCCCCAGGGCGTCCATGGAGTTCTCCGGCGCGGGAGCGTCGCGCTTGCCACGGCAGAGCCATCGCAACCCGAGGAACCCACAGCACCCTGGAGGCAAGCCGTGTGCTTCCCGTTCTCGGCTCACCTCACCCCCCCTCCTCACTCCTCCTCCTTCTCCTCCGCCTCCTCCTCCTCCTCCTCCTCCTCC